CGTTACTTCTATCGTATGATTATACAAGAAGCTATTTATCAAAGAAAAGGGCGCTTCTGCTCATTGCTTGCCGGACCTCTGGTGTTGGGATAAAAGTTTAAAGCCCCCTTCCCCCGCCCCCAGCCCTCTCTGCTCCGCGGTGCCTGAGAGGTGGGATGAAAGAGATATTTATTTTAAGGTGGGATAAAAGTTTGTTGATTTTATCCCACCTGCAAACTCATGGTCAAAAGGTGGGATAGTTGTGCACAATTGCGATAAATTTGTGGGATTTATTATCCCAGTTAGTAGCTCTCTCGATTATCACGGTAATCAATGTACAAACATTAGATGTATTTCTATTGGTCACTACAAGATCTTCATGCAAAACGTTTAATGTGCACCTGTGAGGGCAAAATTTTTCAAAATAAAATAGTTTTAAGCTAAAATGGTAAATAATGCAGAATTATGTTTTTGTTATCTAATAATACCAATTCTAAATGTTTTTCTTATCAAATATGTAGTTTACTTTCTTAAAAACATTTGTTTATAGTTTTCCATATAGTGTATAATTTCACTGTCTTTTTTGGAATCAAGATAGGACAATTAAAGGAGCGTGAGCGTGAGAATGCAATCATTCTGGGGACACAAGCCCCCAATGTCCTTCTACCTTTTACACTCATGATTATTCAAAATAGCAAAATGAAAAATATAACTTCAACTTGAGCTATCAGTGAAAGGAAAAATACTATAAACGCATTGTGTTATCAGTGCAGAGAACATAGAAAAACTTTTTTGAAGGATCAACTTTTGATAGTGAAAAAATATTTTCGAAAAGGAGAGAAGAAAAGAGTCATTGAAAACCTGCTTTCACTAAAAAAAAACAAACTTAGTTTGTTTGTTGTGGGTATATGCCTCAGGGTGGGGCCGACCACATATGACTGTTCAAGACTTTCACGTGAGGCTTCGTAAGCATTTTTTTCTTTGAAAAATGACAGATTTCCTCTTTTGCTTTCTAGGGCTTGCATCGTATTTCCCTGTTTTGTAAACCCTCGTAGTTGAGGCACTATCCTACCCTTGGTATTGGTATCTAAATTGATCCTTGTTTCAGACGAACAGGAAATTTCAAATCAAGAGATAAAAAAATACAACTAGAGTAGTCTCTGCAATTCTTTCGCATGGTTTTCATATAACAAATATTCTACTTAATAGTCACTTTTGCTTGTTAAAATAGGGTTTTAAAAGCATTTTTGAATAATTTCAACAGAAGAAGAGTAGAATGGATAATACAGATTGCATGCAAGTTTGTAGATAAATTGATTCTTAGAATGCAATGCCAGTACTGTTCGTCTGTTAACACTGAACAGTTTGACAAAAACTGACCCCCTCCCTCTCTCCGTTCGAAAAATTTATCTTTGAAATTTGGGCAACACTACTTTGTAAAGTTATTGTTGTCGTGACTAAATTTCACAATCACAGTCCCCATTTTCTCTCCATATTACATTCAGTGGTGTAGCCCAGCTTAAGGCACCGTAGTTTGATAACCAGGGGTCACCCATATTATTTTTTTAAATCTATGTTTTTAAATTTTGTCTCCTGTTAAATTTCGTCAACTGAAGCTTCAATACCGCCAGCTCCCTTAGTTTTTGCATAAGTACGTTTGGGCGATGGAAAACACTCCTTCTGGAAAGCTGATTCGAAATAAGCTATGCTTTGGCTTTTATTGGCAATAAACTCTCTAAACATTCGTGGGTTGTTCCTTTGATTCCACGCTACTCTAGCAAAATTTTATAGAACACAAATTCTTTGAGACAAGTACGAGATCCAGGCTCTAAACCTTGCAAGTTTGTCTTACGCCAAAGCAGTAGCAGACTGGCCGGTCGGGCTACCGGGCAATCGCCCGGTGGGCCCTCCATGAATTATTGAAATTTTTCTTAATTTTGCTATTAAATGAAAACTCGTATTGCAATGCTACGATACTTCACTGGAAGTTCCAAAATCTGATCAATTTTCTCTTCGTGCCCTCAGTTTAAATGTTTTCATTCAATCATAGGTTAAGGGTGGTAGGGACATGACAATTTTGTGACTCAATTTCTAGGGAGGTACATTATTTTGATGCTAACCAAATAGTTTGAGAGTATAGATCGAAACAGCAGAAGGGCTCAACCCTCTCAGCTCTGACAAAATTTTTGCTCCAGTACATTTATACTTTGCTCCAGTATAAAACATGAATGATTCACCAACATCAGTCATAAAACATCGGCACTTACACCAAATGTTTGTGTATTTTTTCGGCAAAATTTTGGCATAATTCCATTGGCATAATTCCATTGACATAATTCCATTGGCGCTAGTTTTTATTTCGAAAATTTGCTGACGTGGCGAAAACAATGCAAGATTTGCCCTGACGAACTTTGCAAAATAACAGGCCCGTAGACACTGGAGGCAGGAGAGCAATGACCTCTCCCAATAATTTGCAAAAACTGTGTTTGAAGAACTTATAAGCGCACCTTGATTTGACAGTTTTTCGTAAGGCAGGTATAGAAAAAGCTATATTTCTATCCATGCTCCCCAATCCAGTCGTGCAGTCTACATGCCTGCAAAAATGAATAAATTTTAAATGTCTCCCATTGTAAACTAAACATTGCTAAAAGTTGAGAATATTGTATTGGCTTTTTGGTAATTGGAAACTATTAGGGGATGGGGAATTATTGTAAATGAAAACCAACATGTATTGCCCAGGATTTTCCTTTCGATAAACTTGATGTGGCAACTATTTTAGATGCATTTTCTGGCCATCCTTGTAATGTCATACTATTTCGATAATTTTTCTTGAATTCGGTCATTAACCTTGCTGCATAACCAATGATCGGAAAAACATCAACCCCTATTATTTTTTGACTGGAAAATTACATATCAAGATTTTCTTGAATAACTTAGATATTTTATTAAGTTCTACCCTGGGTACCAGAGCTTCAGTGATCGAAAAAGGTTACCCCTCTAAATACCATTTGGCTTTTTTATCACTGAGGCCCCCTTTAAAAATCCTTCAGCTAGAAAACAACAATTGTTCCCCCGCAATGTCATGATTTTCTCTCATCTCTTATCCTACGTTAGAATTGAATTTCCAGTGAAAATGATGCTGACCTTGACTAAGGATTGTAGATCCCCCTTGTAAATCTTTTACGCCTACGCCTTCATCCCTGGTGGTTACTAGTTAGAATTAATAGCAATATTCAAATAATGTTTTGAGCATGTATAAAAAAGTGATGCAACAAACAACTTTGGGGATACCCGTAAACTTATTTTCGATTTTTGGGGCCCCATCTTGACGATTTGGCCCGGGCCTTAAGTTTGGAGCCAGTCCGCCCCTGCGCCAAAGTAGCCTACTTAGGCAAACTGCATGAGAATACTGTTTAGAGGGAATGAAATGTGGTGAGCTCTATCAAACCAATGCAGAGCAGATGCCAATGGGGGGCATGGAAGGGCGTGTTGCCATCCCCTCCCCCTATAGGGCTGTTTGTCTGATAGTCTAAATGCCTGTGGGAAAATTCAAGAACTCACATCGCGATGACTGGCTGATGATAGCCTTCTTAGCTCTCCATATTTCATTATCAAAAGTTTTGCTTTTAATCGACTATTTCATGTTGCATTGGTTGATCATTTAATCGATTATTTCATGTTCCAAAGTTTGTCAGAAGACACTTTAGGATTATTCTTGCGAGAACCATGAAGTAGTAGGTAGCATGAAGCAAGTGACGAAAACGATAATTCAGATGTGTATCTTGAATTTTGCGATATGCTGAAGATGTCTCCGCCACCAAAGCATCCGTGACACCAGAAAGTGCTGCAGAGATTTTGACCCATATCAGCCTGGAAAATGGGAGACTGATCTGAGTTTAAATGGCAAGCAAGGGTTTTCTATTTTACGATTTTGGATGGGGTCTGTTATTGGCTGGAATGATCTGATATCTTGGCATTAAATTCAGGCTGACTGTTCTTGCATTTGGCGCGTAAAACAACAGTTGGTTGTAACAACATCAACAACTCAAATCTGGCCCTTAAGGTTACGGTAAACGTTTGCTGGATGAAAACATCATTTTTTCGATTTTTTCACATTCAAGTAGCCGAACTTTCAAGGCACACAATGACACCAAATTTGAAACAAACAGAAATTTTGAAAGTGGAAAAAATCCCATGTAAACGAAGTTTCCATAATTTCTTTATCAAAACTTTTAGTTGAGGCCTGAAAATCTCTTGACCTTTTAAGCCGATTATCGTTGCTTTGCGGTTGTAGTCGCATGTCCCATTTACAATATCGCATGGCACATCCATATATCCAATGTACGGCCGTGTTTATTTAAACAGGCTTATTGATCTTAAATCTTCAAGTGACTTGACCCGGATTACACTGTGGTTTACGAGTGTATCTTGCAAGTGCGATCAGCAAAATCCCGTTTTCTCTGGACTCGAAATTCCTCTACATGCAGGTACGAAAAAGCTATTATGTACCCAAGGAACCACTCGAATGGCTCGAAAATTTGCACACGGCCAGGGCAGACGCTGGGCAAACAAAGTGTGTCTCAAAATTTTTTTATTTTCTCTGGTCCGTCTTTTATACCCAAATACAGCTGCGGGAGGGTGGAACAATTATTTGCCAATTTTTGACAGGGTATAGTTTCAAGAAGAGGAGGAATTTAAAAAATCTGAGACACACTTTGGTAGCTTAGGACCTGCACTTCCTGCTGGTCTAAGTCAGATTTTGTTAACTCAAACGCAAGGGTACATAGTAGCTTTTGAAGGTGGTACACTTTTTGACCAGTAAATTCGCATGGAAAATAACATTGAACATTATTTGCCAATACTTTTTATCTGGCTAGATACGCCATAATCTTGTGCATCGAATGATATATAGTTTATCCAGATTCCTTGAGCCGTTTGGCCTTTAGGAAGAAAAAACCAATTTTCGTGTTCAAAACGTTTACCGTAACCTTAAACGGTGTTCAGCCGCTTGATAGCTTGTTCTTAGGGTGTTCTTAGGGTGTTCAGCCTGTTCTTGGAGTGTTCAGTCTTTTAGAAACGAGGATTAAATCGTGGCATTGTGTGTAAGATCGACTAAGGATCGGTTCTGTGGTTATTGTGTAGAGAGAGGTATTATCTGTGAGAAGGGAAATAAAAGATTGTGGTAAACCTGATTGCCTTATTTCAATGACTGAAGACTAAAACTAAATTCTGAAAATCTGACGGTCTTCCGTGCGACCTGTGCGACACCCTGAATCCTCCCCTGACAGACACACAGAAAGACAAGTACGGAACTTCAGCACTCACGCACAACCAGTAACTCTATTTGAATCGTTTAATATTTATGTAGCTATTGATGATTGTATAACTTGATTAAAGAACGACTCCAAGGAAATATGCTTGCATGCGGTATCCAACTCTGACTCTCACCAATTCATCACAAATGCGTGGAAATCCGCGAGAGCAATTTTCTCTGAGGCTGTTAGCGACATTGCGGTAAGAGTGACACATTGTTGTGAATGAATCAAAGAAGTGCAAATTTTGTCCAAATGTTGTCGTTCTTGCGTTTTTGTTTATGACAGAAATAAATTCCACCATATTTTGTTGGATGACAAAGTTGCGAAAAAAGTTTTAATCATATGATCTTGACTCACAAACACAGTCATGCGCATACCAAAGATCGAGATCCGGTTTAGATACTTTCAAGAGCACAGTATAAATGAACCTTGTTACGTGCATGGATCACCAATCGATGATCCAAGAACTTTTCCTCAAGTGCAGGCCATAAGATGTCAACCATGAAGATTGCTATACGGATTGTTTTCATTTTGGCGCTCTCAGAAATTGGTAAATTTTAATTTTGTTCGTTCCATGGGATTTTAAAACTTTTCAAATCAAACCTTCAGTGTTGGGGAATTTAATTAGTATCTTAGTAAAGATGGTTTCTGAGGTGAATTTAACAGGTATAAGTAGTTCAGTCCTCCGCTTAATTAAATAGTTTCTTAAGATCGTTTGCAAGGCGCAAATCTGGAAACAAAGGGGACTTTCTAGATTTGCATTTTCATTTTACTGCAGTTTTTTTCCAATATTTTGTTGCAAAATGGCATTAAGGGCAAGCAAAAACAGACTCGCAGCTTTAACAGGGTCATTTATTTCCAAAGCTGGTAATATTTTTTGCCCATCTTTTCAGCGACAGCTAAACTAGCCTGAGCCTCAGACTCAGGCTGCAGCTAAACAGGCTTTTTGATAACAATAAATTTGGCAGGAATTTCAAAGTGATTGTAGTTTTTGGAAGAATGCATCGGAACAGCGATTAATGTAGGCACAATAAACCACTCATCAACAAGCGTGTTGTTTCCACCCTGGCAAGACTTTTTTAACGTGTGGAGAACATGCAGTGGCAGCGTTAGCAATTTGGGTCTAGGGGACGGATTAAAAATAATTGCGTCATTCCTTATTTGGGAAAATCCCATATGCCGCACTGATCAGCAGGGGTTCAAATTTTGATGTCGCTAAAACCACATTATATGTACATATTCTGAAATACAGTTTCATGCTGAACAACATTTATTCAACATACACGCCCTTACAATGTGGAAATAAGTACTTTCTGGTCAAAAAATAGCAGATAGGGGGCAACTGGGCAAAAGAATGTATACAGTGGTGGCGCCAGGGGAGGGCTAGGGCGCTACAGTCCCTCCATCAGAAGCATCTAGCCCCCCTATCGGAGGAAAAGTTTAGGTTATTGTCGGAGCAAATTTGACAAAATAACGAACGAGAACTGCATATTATAGTCAATTTAGCCACCCTGTTGGAAGCTCCAACCCCTCTGTCGGAAGATTTCTGGCGCCACCTCTGAATGTCTATAAGTTTATTTATGAACAACTTATATATTAACAAGATCAAAACATGCGATGATGAAATCCTATCCAACAATCCCGCTAAACATTTTGAAATTTCTGCAATCCGTGTATTATTTTGAGAAAATCTGCGTCCGGCAAGTGTGTAGAATTCCCTCGTTCCGTTGAGAAATTGCCAGATTTCCGCAATCTACGACAAATTTCCCTAAAATTCTATTCTTCCGCAAACACTGATGACATCTTCATTTGGAGAAAAAAGGCAAGGATCTATCCTTGCAGACAAATATTCTTGCTGGTAATAATTGCGGGTACGAAGGTCTTTTAATGCAGAACACGGGAAAAGGTGAACCGCGTTGAAGTATATATATTTGTCTCAGGATTTTCCAATTTCCAAGTCCGGGTTTTCCGTTTTTCATAACTATTCTCCGGGTTTTGGGTCCTGGGTTGAGTCAGCCCGGGCTGAGTTGGCCCGGTTTAAGTCAGCCCGGGCTGAGTGGGTATTATCATACTTTATCTTATTCACACACTTAATGATTTTGCATCGATATAATTTGCGATATAAAATGAAAATATTCAGCAAGAGGATCAGCTATTTTTTCCGCGCACTTTTCAATATTCACGCGTCCCATTTTGTTTCTGCCCAATCACCACTAAATTTGCATATTTTAAGGGTACGTATGTTTAATAAAAGTTATTCAGCATGAAATTATCTTTCAAAAGATGTACATACTATGTGGTTTTAGTAACTTTAAAATTTTGAACCACTACTGATCAGTGCGCCATTATGGTATTTGCCCAAATAAGGAATTCCCAATGTCCAATTGATGGGGCTTTTTTCTGGTCATTTCCAACTTAGTGTAGAACATCTGTGCCAAATTACAGCTTTATATTCTTTTTGTCCGGGTTAGACCGTTTTTATATCTAATTCCACTACACTATACCAGTCTAGATCTTGGATATGTTTAATGATAAAAAGTAATATTCTTTCAAGAAAATTAATAGCAATTCTGCAGATCAGTTTTATATAAAATATCTTTTTAACAATAAAGAAGGATCAAGGAATTGACCATTTCATCTTTTGTTTATGATAGAAGGAAAATTTTTACAATTTTCAATGGGCTAAATTTTTACTTTGTTTTGTGGAACTGAAAAAGGGTGATCTGAGGGCAAGTGCATATGCCCGATTCGTAAGATAAAACACTATTCTTTGATCAAGTACTTCCGCTGCAGCTTCTTTGATCAATTTTTTGTGGCTTCTCATTAGCTTTATCATAGCAATTTATGATAAGATTCAAGGAGGTCTATAAAGTGCAGGGGGGAGCTCAACATACACCCGTTAAGAAGCGTTGAGAATTGCTAGCAATGAAAGTTTTTTAATGTTTTCAATTGAATCGGCTACTCGTTGTTTCTTTAAAAATTCCCACTTTCAATTTTTCTGATCAGTACAAGGAATAATTTTTCAGAACATCAGGCTCAATCAATACTGATGGTAAAATTTAAACTTCTTATCCAGAAATTCACCTTGCCTTTTAAAAATAATTTAATTCAACTTCACCCGTGTCAAAAAGGGAACAAACGATGCAATGGTGCAATTTGAGTTCCATTTTAATAAGACCTAAGATTTTTAATTTTAAAGGACAAGTGACACGCTTTTGGGGCCAATTTTTTTTTCTTTCAACTTAAAGTAGAATGCTGCATGAGAGTGCTGTTGAAATATTTTTCCTTTCTGATTTCATTTTCCTACTTAAAAACTCTTTTCAGATTATGGCGGGAAATGAATCACGTGAAACCGTGACGTAGACTGTGATAATCTGTTATTGCTGTGATGGTCTGTGACGCAGGCTACAATGCCTGCCAAAAGTACTTGGAACACCCACCAATTTACCCTGCATTTGATATCTTTCATTTCTTTCATGAAAAAAATTTGCTACTTCCGCCCCCTTCCCCCTCAAACAATGTTGATGATTTAGAGAAATATCATAAAAGAAGCGCAAAAGAAAGTGCTTCCTAAAATCTTAATCCGTTTGATAGTAAACCAACATTGTTCCGTGGGGGAGAGGGAGATGATTGGTTTTGACCTTGGAAATTGATGTCAGTGTTCCAAGACTTTTGGCAGGCATTGTAGCTGCTACTGGTATACAGTGCAATATTAACGTTTACAACACGCTTCTTAACGAATTCAGTTCGTCTGGACCTATCGCATCGTGTTTCGTAGACTCTCTATTAATGGCAGGAAAATTCCAAGTTATCACAATGTACGTCATAGGGTCACGTGATAAAAAGCAAAATCGCGCCCCCTGCACCCCCTGCGCCCCCTGCGCCCCCTGCGCCCCCTGATTAGAATTTTTTGTTCTAAACCAGGAAAAATTCTTACTTCTAAATGATGATCTATAAGTTAAGGAAAAGAAAAGATAGGGTGAAAAGTGTGTCACTTGTCCTTTAAAATCCCGAAATCCTAAGCTATAAAATTCGCTTAGAGGGGGGGGGAGGGGCAATTCGAGGATTTACGATATTTGGTCATGATAGTTAGAAACAATTCTAAGTGAGCTTTTAAGTTTTCCAACCTCACGGTTGGGAAACTCACGTCACGCCCCCAACGCCCCCTATTCTTTACGTGCCTGATTGCTGGTAGGGAAAGATCATGACTATTTTTTTATTACTTAAAGATAGTTTCAAAGTCAAAGAAGTATATCACAAAAAATATATTGCTACAATTTATCTCGCTCCAAACATTTTCTCTTCGATTTACTTGGGGGGGGCATCTCCCACCAGTCTCCCACAGTTCAGCCGCTTTTGGCCGAAAAACTAAATGACCCCCTTCTTTTAAAATAATTCTCTCGAAATTAAGTTATTTAGCAGATCAATACAGGTGGAGCATGAACACAAACCTGTCCTTTATCAATGTTCTTCGCTGGTTTTTCTTTAGATGCCCTGAATATGGATTTTGGTCCAAAAAAACAGAGAGTGGTACTAGAGCGGAATGAGATAGGAGAAATCATACAGCCCATCACTTGCATTGTCGATAGACCAGCCAAAATTACGATTCAATTGAAGAAGGAAAATACGATTGTTGCTAATCGGAGGGAAGAGGAACTGCCAATGGGTGTTTCAGTCGAGTTCAAGACTGGCCAGGCACAAATACAGTTTGATCACCGTTTTAAAGGGGACTGTCAGAATGGAACCTATTTATGCATTGCAGAGGACTCATTCGGAAACAGAATTTCAAAAGAGGCTCACGTGTTCTTAGTTGGAGACCTCGATATGCCAGGTACTGTAAAAATTTCAGTAAAACACCTCAGTTATTATAAAACTTGTCGCATTTGAACAAGTTGCATTTACTTGGGTCAGTTTTGCGTGGCTTTCCAAGCGAAGTAGAAATGTTTTACTTTAGGGACAAAATTACTGTTTCACATTTTGAGAATCTGGAACGATTTCTCCGGAGGGGCAAATCACTCAAAGAGAATCCCGTACATCTTTTGCGAAAATCCTTTTGTTTAAACTGAAAATTCCAAGAAATCCTTTTGTTTTAGGGAAAATCTTGTATGCTATTTGCAAGAGTGAATTGCCCCTCGATTTCTCCTAAAACAACCATGACGTCAAGTATTGTATTTTTTGCGAGTGAATCGGAGCTCAGCCAAAATAAAGCTAGTTCACCAATATTTAGAGTTAATTGTTTTAAACAAGAAGTTATGAGTCAACATTTAAGAACTAATAAAAATTTAGGAAGAATCAAATTGCGGTTGTTAACGCCCCTTATACAAGCAAGCAAGTGATGACCTCACAAGATAATATTTTGAGAACTTTTTTATATGGAGCACTTAGCAAAAAAGTGTACCATTGAATACCTTTGTAAATGAGAATCAGCTCAATCAAGATAATGAGTTGCAAGTTGCCTACATGAGCACAGGCTCTATCCCAATCAAACCTCTGTAAAGCCCAATCTCCAGTGAGAAAAATATCAGCGAAATGCGAAAAAGTTCGCGCGAATACATCTTAGGCATGTGCAGTGATCTTTCGCTTTGATTTCTCGCGAAGAATTTTTCTGCGAAAAAAAGTTAAAATGAGTTTAACTTTTTTCGCTTTTCGCTTGCAAAATCCTACAGCAGCCAATTATATTCCGTATCCCTTTGTCACGCTTCCAAACTTTCCATTCCAATGTCGTGAGGTCAACAAAAGCATTCAAAGGAATTTGTCGCGTGAAGTATTTCGCAGCGAATTTTCGCAAGACTTTTTCTCACTGGAGATAGGGATTAACGCCAAGCTAAATAACAGTAATCATTAGCAAACTCAATTTGCGGCAACTTTAACTGGTATTAGGGAGTTTAGCATGGTGTTCGTTTGGATCATGTGGTCAAAAATCAGAAAATCTGAGGACGACTAATTGTTACCGATCCTTTTGTTCGCATTTTGCGAAACTCTCAAATTTAACCTTCAAAAATAGGTAGAATTACTTTGTAAAAAGAAGAATTAAAGGGGAAATCATGACATCTATACAGGGGAGTAAATTTTAAAAACATTGTTTCCGAACAAGGAGCATGCTTCCAGGAGGATACAGACTGGTCAGAACCTTGAACCAGCCAATTTACAAGTAGCTTAGGCTTAGCCAATCAAATATCAGATCAGCTGCTTTCTGTCAGTACTTCGGAGCATTTCACAAACGGGTTTAATGATTGTGCATGCAGCTACAATCTATATGCCGTATTTCCTCGAAAATAAGCCGTGACTTTATGAAATGAAATTTTTCGGCCTATTTTTAAAATCGGTTTATTTTCGAAGTGTTTTGTGAAAAGAAAAAAAAATTGAACAAACATTTCAAACAATTTTCTAGTAAATTCGGATGATTTGATCGAACTTTGGAAATGCAAATGCTTCACCGTGTCTCAGCTTATTATTGAGGTCGGCTTATTTTTCCTGTATTTTCTAATATTTTTCGGCTTATTTCCGAAGGTCGGCTTATTTTCGAAGGTCGGCCAATTTTCGAGGAAATACGGTAGACACAGTGCGGTTAAGAGGCTTTAGGAAAATGCTTTTATGCGATGGCATTAGACTTAAACGACTTTAAGAGTGCAGCCCTTTTTCTGACTTCTTCTTACGCATGCGAAAAAGTTATTTTGGCGAACGGGATGCCGTCCTTAGAAGTTAGGGGGGACGCAGTGCTGTAGGGTATAAGCTACACGTAAGACAATACCCAAGTCATGCCAAGACAATGTTCAACTTACTTTTGAGTTGAACATTCTCTCCTGTGTAGATGAGGTCATTCAAACTATTAATCGACTCTAAAAGGGCGACGTAGATTGTTTATTCATTGAAAATCAATTTGCAAAGTAATGATTAGTTTAAATTAACAGGGAAGGAGTTTGCCAAATCTTACATAAAATTGCTTGTCAACTTAGGCTGAGCCATTCCTCAATCTCTATAGACCTTAAAAGAGGGGCTGAACCTCCTTGCCCTCATTCACGGGACACCGGTTTTGAGGTGGCAACTGTTCTTTAGAATCCTTTCCTTTTTTGCATTAGCAAATCCCAATGCATTTCAAGTTCTCAAGTGAAGCAATAAAGCAACAAAACAGCATATTAGCAAAATTCAAAGATAAAACTACACTATAGTAAAAAGCAATTTAATTAGAATCGAGCAAAATATATGGTGCAATAACATCAAATAAATTCTGTTGTAGATAAATATGGTTCATCGTGTTTTAGGTGACTGAGCACAGGTTACTTGTAAAAGGTTGCTCCATTAATTGTTAAGTTTGCTAAGATCACGTATTCAATGTATTGTATAGCCTATTACGATGCTTTTGTTTTAAGATAAACTTTTCTCGAAACCAGACCTGTCTTTGTTGATTACATTTTGGTGCAGAGCTCACCATTTTGGCATTTGATAGTTGAAAAAGCTCACACGTTTCTAGCCTGATAACCAGACTCCGGTTTCGGTATCTATTTCCTTTGAAATCGTGGTCTGGTTATCAGGCTAACACGTGTCGAAATCCATTTAAGATTCCAGGCCACATGTATTAATGTCAAAGCTCAACTATGAGTATATTTTAAAGGACGCGAATTTTTTACATTATACCAGGCGGAGAATAGGAGAATGGTCACTCGAGGGCGAAATTTATGGGACCAAGTGCTTTTGGTGAATTCGAGGGCGCTGATTTCAAAAATTGATTTTTGGGGCCATCAGCCTCTTTTTCGTGTTAGAAGTCTCGTTTTTGCGTATATGAAAGTAATCAATGAAAAAACAGTTTAAATGGAAAAAAGTTAAAGTCTTACAGTTAACTAAGCATATTTCTTGCGCATAAATGCCTAAAATTGAGTTATGGTCTGTTATAGGGGGCCAAAAGCCTCGTTTTCACAAAAAATTGTGTAATCTTAAATTTGTTATCCTTAAATAGACATCTAAAAAGCTTAATACATCTTTTGTCGAGACTAATATTTTAATTGTCGTCCGAAGGAACTATGCAGCGCTATTAATTACTAACTGATAAATGACACTATGAAAAAACAACCGGATCATCTAAACGTAGTTTAATCTTGGTTTAAATCACTCGGTCCCATAAATATCGCCCTCGAGTGACCATTCCCTTATTCTCCACCTGATCTATATACAACGTTTTTGATAACCGACCCTCAAGATGAAATAAACGAAGAATACTCAAATCCTGATAGCATCATACCTTAGCAACTGCGCAACATTGACACGATATGATAGCATCAGAAAAACTATAGGATAGGATGGGATGAAACAAAGCGTTTTTACGAAAGACTGCAAATTGCAACATACTTGTCTTGCTGTTTTTCTTGAACGAGGTTTTGACATAACTGGAAAAAGTACATTTGATAGGAAGTATTTGGTTTTCAGGTAGCCCTTTAAACCACTTTGTTATCAACTAACCACAAAGAGATAAATCTCCTTTGCTTCCTTTCTAATTTTTCCTCAAACACTAAATCCATAGGCACTATGAAATTACATAGTGTTACATGACATACGAAGCTTAATTCATTTCTAATAGATTATTTCAAAAAGCAATTTGAAGTTTTCATTATTATCAGTATTTTCATCCCTGTTGCCTGCTGGAGAATATGTGAACACTTTTCTGGACTCTGTCGTTAACAATAAAAATGATTTTTTCTGTACAGTCTCCCCTCGATTTAAGTAGCTTTTGGTTAGTATTTTCAATTTTATGCAAGAAAATATTTGATTTATTTTCTCTTTTGTTTTATTATGTTTTTGGATAGAGAAGAAAAGAATTCCCGTCTTTTTAGGGAGACATGCCAGTATTTATTCGAAGGTCCGTTGTTCATTAAAATTTTGCATCAAATGTACAAGCGGATTTGTAATCAATGACGTCATTTTATGTGTGATAGGAGCATTCGTGTTTTAATTATAATAACGAGCAATAGTAAGCTCGATTCAAAAGGAAAGGAAAATTTCGGGAAAAGATGTCACGGGTAGAGAGGATAGTAATAAGAATTTGAATTTCCATCAAGAAAGCTATCTTTCATGAACGGTAGCATTAGCAGCAAAGATGCAATAAGCCGGAGATGAAAAACAGTGAACAGTTGTTGAACACCTTGTGAAAGACATTAAGACAAATGCATGTGCTCTGTTCTCTGCCCCTCGCAAATGATTATAGAATCTACCTGCCAAGAGTCACTATTAAGATGTAAATAGTTAAAATCTATTTACTTGGCAGTTTAGAATTATCTTATAGGTTCATTCGTCTTGAAGATCAAATTCTATATCAAAGTCATTCAGAGGACAGTATAATTTCTTATTCGAATTAAAAAGTACGATAAAGTATTAACATCATTTTGCTGGCGTTAATTAGCTTATTAGCTATATGTATTTTTTTTTCTTCTTGCCAACGTTAAATAAATTGTTAATAATAATAATAATAATAATCAGCGAATACAGCGACATATACAAACGTAAGTTATCAACCAAAGAGAAGAATTAACGTCCAGAGAGAAGAAATAACATAAGAATTTTAAATCCGGCCCGGTTTTTTGAATATCATATTTCTTGACGTATTTTGACAGAGAAATAACATAAAGCAGTTTTCATATAGAAGATTCAATTATTTTCACTTAGTCTTTCACATATATATTTAATAATTGGTTCTACTTTTGATAGAATATGTTCTGACACTAAACAACGGACCTCCAGCCCCTTTTCTCTTTTGTTCTCTTGTTTTCAAGCCACGAAAACTTTCATGGAGCCACCGAACAGCAAAATGAGGCTGCAAGTTTTAGAAAATAATTGTAGAATGTGTCCTACAATTTCACCATCTTTCAGAATGTGTCCTACTTTTGATCGTGTTGATTATCAGGCTCTCTTTTACAAATCAGCTTCTCTTGAATACGTGGGGTTCCTATATCTTTATATACGTGATGTCCAGTGATGAAACAGTTAAACTCAAATACACAGGGACGACATTTAGTTGCTCTCGCCATTGCAGAATTATGTAAAAGGAAAGATTTACCACAAACGCTAAACTCCAAATATAAACTTTTAAATTTGACACATAACATCTGAAAAAATTTATACTAATGCAATCATAACATTCGAAGGCTCTGGTTCTGATGAAGAACACGACGAGGACATTATCGTAGAACTTTAGCATTGTGTTTTTAATCTGCAAAATTTCTACAGTTAAGATGTTTTTTAGTATCAGATGTGATGCAAAGTGATTTTTTTGCGATTTAAAGTGATTTTGTTGCCAAAAAAATTATAGGCGCCTGGCACCTATACGCGGCCCTATTTTCTAGACCTGAAAACCCAGAAATTTAAAATTTCCGGATATAGGCGCCGGCTCCTTAATGCGAGACTATAGGGTAAATCAGTTCCCATAAATGTAACGGTTGTAGCTGCAACAGCCAGAATTGTCTAGATCCACCCTTGCAGCACTAAACAAGAAATGACTGAAAGATGACTGCCATCAGGCGTGGTTTTCAGTCAGATCAACTTCAGTGGCATTTGAGCAACAAAAACAGCAATGGTTGTTTTAGTGATCCTGGCGTCATAACGAGGCCTTAATTTTTGTAAGTATTTAACGAAAGTATTTTAATAAGAGAAAGTATTTGACGCTACTTTTTCTGAAAAAACAAGCTTTTTATTACTATAAATGCCAATAATAATAATAATAATAATAACAATGCACTTATAGAGCGCTAAAATCTATATACATATATTCTAAAGCGCTGAACAGTGTTAAAAAACCTTGAAATGTCATTCACATGCTAAAATGATTATGAAATAAATACGTTTTTACTCCTGTTTTGAAAGTTTGGACGCTCTGAGATCTTCTAATTTCAACGGGCAGTTTGTTCCAGAGCCTAGGGACTGCAGTACAAAATGCTCTGTCGCCACGAGATGCAAATTTTGTCTTTGGAACTAGCAATGCCATAGATTTGTCTGACCTCAGTCTGTATCTATCACTGGTTTGTAGCCTCAACATATCTTTTAGGTAGGCTGGAGCCATGTTGTTAAGTGCCTTGAATGTTAATAACAAAATCTTGAAGTCAATCCTTTCTTTTACCGGCAGCTAATGCAGTTCTTTTAGTACTGGAGTGATATGATCGTACTTGCGAGTCCCAGTAATTATCCTTGCGGCAGCATTTTGAACACGTTACAACTTTTGCAACTGATAATTCGGCAGACCAAATAGAAGACTGTTACAGTAGTCAAGTTTACTTGTGATAAGAGCATGCACGATCTTTTCAGTTAGGTTCCGATTCAGATATTTCCTTATGTGCTTAATATTATAGATGTGATAAAATGCAGCACTGCATGTCTTTGTAATATGATTTTTCATGGACAGATTGCTATCAATAAGTACTCCCAGATTTTTGACACTGGTTACTGGCTTTATATCTGAATCACCGATTTTGATAGAATCTATCGTGATTTTATTAAATTGATGTTTAGAACCGATAATAAGAAACTCTGTTTTTGAATCATTGATCTTTAGCTTGTTCACTAGCATCCATTTTCTAACATCGTTCACACGATTCTGTATTGCATGCAGTGCTTCTTCTTGTGATGTTTGATTGACTGGTTTGAAAGACAAATATATCTGGTGGTCATCAGCATAACCGCGAGCGTTTGGAAGGTGCTGCTCAATTACATTAAACAAAGAACTGGCGTAAATAAGAAACAAGATGGGACCCAAGCAGGAACCTTGTGGCACCCCATATTTGAGCTTTTCTCTATCTGATACTATATTTGAGATCTGTACACGCTGAAATCTGTTACTGAGATATGATAAAAATCAGTCAAGAGCCTTTCTTGAAATTTCCACTCTTTTCTAATCACTAAATTTATGTGATTAGAAATCCCACTCTTTTCAATATCACTAAAATTTTGGTTGTTGAGTTGAATTTGATCCGGTTCGGTATAGTACGAGTTTACTTACTCCTTCATAATGTTGAGAATTCTGTCTGGTGCCTTAGATTTAAAAATCTTCAAGACAATCGGTATTCCACACCACTCTGTGGTATTGGAGACCTTCTAAAGGCTATGCTTGATACAAAAGCCTTCATTTTCCCTCAATAGTCGTAATAAAACTTCGAAATGCAGCTTATCTCCCTTGGCAAATGCCCGATTGCGCGATGTCCGTCGATCATTCCTCTTGTCATAATGCGCAAAGCCATTACATAAGGATCGTAAACATTGCCTCTTTAATGTACGACTTCTAGTTTTTCGTCAAGTTTGGGCGTCAAAATTTTCTGTATTGGTGAAAACCACGAAATCCACATTTTACCTCAAACTGCTCTCCATTTTCTATCAATTCTGTAGTAAACAATCTTTTGGTGGTACAAAATTTGTAAATAGCTTTGAAAAAAGCAAACATGTTTGCTTTTTTCAAAGCTATTTACAAATTCTGTAGTACTATTATCTCCTTCTAATTCTACATCATCCTCATCATCGTTGTCATCAATGGAGTACACTTCTACGCCGTCACATGTTTTACACAGAGCCACGCCCTCAGCTTGTTTGCAGCCAGGGTAGCTTTCATACACAAAAACTGAGCATTCTAGACTTTTGTTGCAAACGAAAGCACTGCATTTCAAACAACGGTATTTTGTTGGGTCTCCACAACCTATACACTCACTTGACTCTTCTGAACAAAATTCTATTGTGTAACGCAGAATTAGAAACAAAAAACCTTCTTTCAAGTCCGATCTATTCTATACTGATGTTTTAAGAACGACAAGGTAAAATGATTTCAGCTCTGTTTAATATTATTGTTCTCAGCTTTTAGTTGATTGGGAGGAGGCAACCCATGACATAATACGTCATGACAAAGAGAAATAAGGCATGTCATCGTGTCAAGGTTATTGATAAACATCGTTCACATTGCTTGCACTGATAGCTGCAATTTTTATCTTTACAAAACGAAAACACTACTTTACTTAATCTGCTGCATCATTTTCAAATATGTCACTGTTCAAGTATTTTGATAGAATGTTTTATCAAGGATTCTGATTTATCAAGGAAAAACTGATCGTTGTCATCCGGACTACACCTTTCTAAAGGAATTTCACATCACACACAGAGAACCATTGGTCCAATGAAGAGAAATCCAAAGAAATGGTGCTGGAAATTTTAATGCCATATGTAAAAAGAAGAAAGAAGAGCTACAAGTGAGAAAAAATCAAGAGTGGCTTTTGCTAGCCGAAGGGCCAATGGACTGAAGATGTAAAACTGTTGGTGCTTAAAAATAACAGAAAGATGGTTCCAGTGCCAAACAACATGACCCTTATTTACCAGCTCCTTGATCTCACAGTGAACAGAAGTTGCAAGGCGTTTCTCCGTAAAGAGTCCCAAAACTGGTTTGCAGAACAAGTCCAGCAGCAAATTCAAAATGGTGGTGAAGCAGAACACGTCAAAGTAGACTTTGCCGATACAGGCAAAGTGGTTAACATCCTTTTAATAACCGCATGGAAACCAACCAGATATAGCTGTCAAATGGTTTGACAGGGCTGGGATTATAGACTTTTTAGCAAAAGAGCGCCAGTATGAAGACCCATTCTCATAAAAAGGTTACTTTTGGTCAAGAGAAACGTTCAGAAATATAATTTCTTTTGACATGAATTGTTGTATCATTCTGTCTACTTTTTCGTGTGCGCGAATTCAAGACTACGCAAAAATATGAAAGATTTGTGCGCGAATTTAAGATGTTTGTTTTTAAGCAATTTTGTGATTAATGTTATACTTTGTGATTAATTTGATCATTTCATTAATGTGGTTAATTTTTGATTAAAATGCGATTTTTCTCGAGAGCGTACATGATTTTAAGCAGTGATCTGCCCCTCGAAAACTTTGTATGCGTGGAAATGCATATGATGAAATTTCTTCATTTGTTCGGAAAGATGACATCGACTCCCCAACAATATCACTATTCTTTGAATATGTAACTTTAAATATTTTAATATTTTCCATTTTCAGGTCCTAGATTTTGCTTTGGATTGCAAGGGAGCGACACGTCTGATCTGGTAACGGTAAAAAGCGGAAAAAACACAGTTTTGCGGTGTTCACTAAGGGACAAGAAATTTGAAAACATGCTAATTGGCAGGCCATTCATCGGATTTTATAGAGTGAACGAATACGGGGATACGAACATTATCAATGAATCTTTGAAGCATCCGAAATTCGAATGGAGCCAAACGAAAATTTCCACAGTATGGAGTCGTCACGACAGGACGTCTAAGGAAGGAAGTCGTTTACTTTTCATTGAAAATGTAACTAAAAGCGATGCTGGGATGTACATTTGCAAAATTAATTTCTTTGCAAGCGGTTGCAATATTTTCAAGAAACTGCAATTAACTGTACAGTAAACCACTCAAATGATGAGATCTCTACCAGAATTCTTAAACGTAGTTGCCTTTATCTTTCAAAATACACTCATTTTTCTTATAAGAAACACAGGTCGATGTTGAGTACTCCAGTTTCTTAATGTTCTGGAAATTTTAATACTCATTGTTTCTTAAGAGTTCCTTAATTATGATGTCACGAATGATGTTCGTGACCTTTTTTTCACGTCAAGAGATTCGTTTTCCTTCTGACGCTGTGTTTAGACGTGGGAAGTATATTTCTATCCCTTCTGTCTTAATTTCTAGGCCATCAGGGCAATCATGTTTTTGGATTTTAGAAAATTTCATTGTTCCCAGTTTTATCACGATTTAATAGTTTCTTGTTTTTTGCTTCGAGTACTGAAGTTTCTTAATTTTTTCTGAATGTCCAGTACTCGTTTCTTATAGCCAGTTTCTTATAAAAAAAAGAGTGTAATCTGTAAGCTTTTTTATGGCAGTGTAGGATCCACTTTTATAACAACTTATTGAAAAAATCGACGATTTTAGCGATATCACATTGTAAATGATCATAACGTCTTTGATTAAATGTTTCTTTTTCTGATGATTGTTTTCTCCCATCGAGCTGGTAATTTTTAGAATAATCAACCAGTCATTTTTGGCCGAAGTTTCCCCTGCAAAAATGTTGACAGGGCTTCTCGGGATTATGGAATTCATATAGGCCCTATTCGCATTGCATCTAAAAACCTGACAATGCAAATCCCTTATCAAAGGCGGCAAATGACAAATTAGAGCATTCCACGGAAAAAAGAAAAACTAATTAATTAACAGCAATAACAAGTCACAGTACAAACATGATTAAGCGACAACTATTAAAGTTTATGTAAATTTAGCCAAAACAAACAAGGAAAGAGAAGCAACAATTACAACAAATAATTTAGTCTGCTTTACAGGAGGTGACCTGCATTTGTTTTTGGTACCTAAAAATTTCCCATTAAGTCTTGTAATATTGGCCAAGAGTCTTTCATTGTTGTCTGTCTTTGTTATCAATATTTGATATTTTAGCATAGACGGGTGTTTAACAAAATGGCTAGGAATATAATCGTTTCTTATACGCGAAAAGTAGGGCATTTCAAGAGTGTGTGGAACTCGTTTCCGATTTCGTTGGATGAACACATATTACATATTCTTTGATCAGAACTTATTTGCCCCATCTGCCTGTTTCTACTGCCAATTTATGGTTAGCTGTTTTAGACCAGACTAGGTATTGTAATAAATTTGAAGCAAAAAAGGTCAAGATATAAAAAGGTATAATTTCTTAATGGCAACCTGATAACGTGTTAGATAACAATATAACATCTCAGAAAACTGCCTAATGCGAACAAAAGTCTGACAAACTTTGTTGATTATGAGAAAGTTTTTTTAATTGGCCTGAGAATATCGGGTTTGACAAACATTATCATATTTGCAGTGCAAATAGGGCCATACTAAGATCGATATGCAGGCAAGCCCCCTTGTTAATACCAAAAAATGGCCGATTTCTACTTTTGCTATTATTTTTCGCAGCGTTTCGTTCAGTAACCCCCCTTGTTATTTCGACAACACTACACCCCTGTCGATATGTATAATTTATATATAATCTCTGGTATAAGCCCCCCTGGAATAAGGCCCAAAACTTGAAGTGGATTGAGGAATATAGAGATAGAATGCAATACAATCATCATTTTTGTTAAAAACAAAGCATGGGATCCAGGGTGAATTTTTACGGCAGTCAAAGTTCAAGAAGAAGAAATGAAAGGTCACGAAACAATGGAATTCCATTCGAAACGCTTTTTATTGACATATGCCCTTTAAATGTCCTTTTAAATATCATTCTGTGGAGTGTTTTCTTTCTCGAAATGAATTTTAAAAGGAGAAAGCTGTATTTTATGCGTTGAACATCAGATTACTCAATATGATTTTGCAGATCTTTTTTGTCTCGAAACGAATTTTAAAAAAGAGATTCGATGCTGAATCTTTGAGGTGGACCTTCAGAGTGTCTTTGTATCGTTTGCGCTGACTACCGATTTTCCTACCACCGTGCTTGAGCTCTCCATAAAATAGCTGATTGGGTATTCGTGAGTTTGCCATTCTGGAAACATGGCCAGCCCAGCGGGTTTGCTCTTTTTTCATGATGGTGATAACGCTGGGAAGCGCCGCCCTCTCCAGCACTTCTGAATCAGGAGTCTTATCTTGCCAGCAGATGTTGAGGATGCTGGGAAGGCTCCGGAGATGAACATGTTGTAGTTGTTTTTCATGCCGTTTGTAGATAGTCCAAGTCTCACAACCATACAGTAGAGTAGACAATACAACTACCTTGTAGACTTTGATTGTTGTGTCCTGTAAGATACCTCTTCGCTCCCATACAGTTTTCCTCAACCTCCCAAATGCACTACTGGCTGTTATATTCTTGTTTTATCACAAATAGATCTTAGTCAGAGAGAAACAACTGTACACATCGGTCGAATAATAACAACTGAACAGAACAATCGTTAGGATTCACAACAACAACATATTAAAATATCACAAGGATTACGACATAGGGTGTCCATGTTTATACTATATTACATCACTTCCCCTTTTGAGAAGTTATTTGTTCATGTTATAATGTTCGATGGCATAGCTTCGCCAAATCTTTCTGGTGGTCTTCTTAATCTTTGAGAACGACGATTTCCTGGACCAATAACTCCAGTTCCAGTTTCTGTCTGTTTATTTCTGTGTTCCTGAGAAGTACGTTGTTCTGCTACTTCATTACCAACATCACTATCTGTTTCCGACTCTTCTGTGCGAATTACAGAATTATTGAATCGCTTGAAGTGAGATACATTTCTCGTGACTCGGTGTTTTTGGCTGTTTTCTGCAGTTACTTGTGTTCCTTTCCTTTCAACAACCAAGTACGGTGTCTTACTAAAACGAGATGTGATCTTGTTGCGGCGTTGTTGTTTAACTAGAACTGTATCACCAACTGCTATAGAGCTTTCTTTAGCATTTCTACGTTGATTTGCGTATTTCGTGTGATAGTTCTGACTCTTAATTTCATTTTCGCGAGATTATTTGTGTTTATTAATCACAATTCTGCCAGTAATTTCTGGTATTTTCCCACGAACTTTCCTGTTAAATAGCAATTGGCTTGGAGCAACTTTTGTTGTGCAATGCGGCGTTGAACGATATTGGAGTAAAAACCTTTGCAGCTCTTGACGCCAAACTTTTCCTTCAATGGCAGCTGTCTGTAAGGCTTTTTCAAGTGGCTGATTGAAGCGTTCAACCTCGCCGTTGGCTTGAGGCCAATATGGAGTTGAGAATTCATGTTTGATATTCAATGCATCACAATATCGACGCAACTCCTCACTTGAAAATGGTGGTCCATTATCGGTTTTTATTGCAACGGGAATGCCGTGTGTAGCGAACATTTTGTCAAGTTTCGGTATTACACATGAAGCTTTTGTCGATTTAACTACTTCAACCTCTGGGTAACGCGAGTACCTATCGACGACAACCAATAAGTATTCATTGGATGGTAATGGTCCACAAAAGTCGATATGTAACTTCTCCCATGGCCCAGATGGCATGTCTGAAGGTTGAATAGGCTCTGGTGGTGCTGCTTGACCAACCGCTTGACATGCTATGCATGAATCTATAGTCTTTTTTACCATTTCATCTATAGCTGGAAACCAGACTTTCTCTCTAAGAAGAGCTTTGGTTTTCGACAAACCTTGATGACTCTCATGAGCCAAGTCGATTGCTTTTTGCTGTAGTGAATTTGGAATCACGATTCTTGTCCCTCGAAGGATAATGTTGCCTTTTCCAATTGTATATTCATCTTTACAACTGCTAAAAGACTTTGCAATTGAACTCCATTGGTTCAATCGTATCGCGGCTCGAAGACCTTTAAGAGCATGATCTTCAGAAGTTGCATCTGCAATTTCTTTTAATGTCATAGCTTTAGGTACGCTGTGTTCAGTTATGAAATTCACATATTCTTCAGTCATAATTTGTTGCTTTTTACCACTGTTAGGAGCGGGATGCCTTGACAAATAATCAGCTGGATTATCAATGCCTGGCTTATATATGACATTGAATGAATATGGTTGCAAACGCAAAACCCAACGCTCAATGCGTGCAGAGGGCTTAGAGTTGCGATTGCCGTAGATCACTTCTAACGGTTTGTGATCTGTAATTAACGTAAAAGGATGTCCATATAGATATAGATGAAAATGTTCCACTGACCATACGATAGCCAATGCTTCTTTCTCTGTCTGCGAGTATCTTGTCTCTACATCCGTTAAAGCTCTACTCGCATATGCAATAACTGTTTGATCCTCCTGTCCTGTTGTCTTTTGAGACAATATAGCTGATAGTCCCACTGGACTTGCATCTACCAGTACGTAGGATTCTTTATTTTTGTCAAAATATGACATACAAGGAGCAGACGATAAGGCTGTAGTAAGCTTTGTAAAAGCAGCCTGGTGTTCGGTGTTCCAAGAAAAATGAGCATTTTTCTTAGTTAACTCTCGGAGAGGAGCAGTAATAGTGGCAAAGTTTGGTATGTACTTACTGCTATAGTTCGCCATACCAAGTAGGCTTCTAACATCATGAGCATTTTTCGGAACTGCTGCATTGAGCAAGTCATTCACACGCTTAGGATCAGGGCGTGTTCCATCTTTTGAAAAGATTTGACCGAAAAAATCCAAAGTTTCACTTAGAAACTTGCACTTGCTTTTGTTCAAAGTAAGTCCTTTATTCTTCAAACGTTCCAGACATTTGTCTAAATTAGCGTCATGTTCTTCGCGTGTAGCTCCATATACAACAATATCATCAGCGATATTTTGAACTCCATTCAAACCTTGCAATGCTTTCTGTAAGGTATACTGAAATATTTCAGCAGATGCGTTTGTACCATAGTTCAAACGTTTATAACGAAATAAACCAACCTGAGTTGAAAAAGTAGTAATGTTACGACTTTCTTCACTCAGTTCTAGTTGATGATAAGCTTGGCTGAGATCTAGTTTTGAGAAAAACTTCGCACCATTGAGTGCACAGCTCACATCATCTACTGTAGGAATAGGGTGACGTATGCGGTTAATTGCGTTATTAGCGACGCGCATATCAACACATATTCTGACCGCCCCATCCTTTTTTGGCACAATGACTATAGGAGAAACCCAAGGTGTCCCTTTATCGGCTGGTACACGCTCGATAATATCCTCCTTTTCCAACTTTTTAAGAGCTTCTTTTACCTTCTGACGCATATGATAAGGAATACGTCTCTGAGGCTGAATTTTGGGCGTCTGACTGTGATCAATACTTAAAGTAACAGTGTCATCTTTCAGCTTACCAAGTCCATCAAACACTTCCGGGTATTTATTGAGTATTGCATCGATCTGAGTGTCGTTTCTTGATAAGGTATTCAAATGAAGGCTTATTAGGCCAAGATCCATTGCTGTAGACGATGATAAAAGATTTCCGCTACTTGAGTCATTCATAACATAAAACGTAGCAAGAGTGAGACGGTTCTTTGTTTCTATGACAGCATTGAATTGTCCTTTCAAATGAACAGGCTTTGAACTGCTGTATGGAAAAGCTTTCATATTTGTTTTCTGCAAATTAACATCTTTCATACGTGAAAAGGTGTTTTGATCAATAACATTAATCGCGGCGCCAGTGTCAATTGTCATCTGAAAAACTGTGTCGCAAACCGTAACAACGACTTTAGGGCTTTTGGAATGTCCGTTATTGACAGCATACAAATAATCCTCATCTGATGATGGCATATTTTCGAAAGATGTATTGTCCAAAGAATGCACGGTCTTTGGTTTTCTGTTTTGGTTGCGAGGGCCCCTTTGTTGCCGAAATTTGTTGCCTGAAGTTTTCTCACGACAAACATTTGCAAAATGGCCTTGTTTTTTGCAAATTTTACACTCTCTACCCTTTGCAGGGCAAGTCCCTGTGTGTGGATATGATCCTCCACAGTTAAAACACTTTAATGAGCCCTGTGTATGGCGTGTTGTGAGCTTATTAGCTTCAGCAAAATTTTTATCCTTAGATTCAATCTCCTTGACTTGTAGTGTACTTTGTTCGTCCCTGCGACCTTCTAACAGCATGGCCTTTAAATCAAAGTTGGGGTCTCGCAGTGCCCTTTTCCGAATTTTTGATGACGTCCCTCCTATGATGATTTGCTCTTCTATTTCAAATTCGACATCGTGAAATTCACACATGTGAGCCATAGTTCTTAGACGGGTATGAAACTGATCAAGAGTTTCTTGTTGTGCTTGAGTTGCTTGTCTAAATCTATAAACTTCATACCGCCGATTCTTTTGAGGTTCAAAATACTCGGTTAGTTTAGCCTTCGCAGAGTCGAAGTCATCTGCTTCACCAACATCGGTTAAATTCTTAAAAATTTCCCTGACTCTCGGTCCTGCTTGATACAACAGCAATGCGCGTTTACGTGTGTTATCAGTAATTCCACTAGCTACCAAAAACATTTCGAAATCATCCAGCCAGTCGTTCCAACGGGTGGCAAGGCTTGCTCCCACTTCCGCATGAGGACGAAATTCTGCTACTGGTTTGATCGAAACAGATGGAAGTTGAGACATGACTACTTGAAGAAATTGTAACACAACATGAGAAACGAAATTTTCTCCTCGTCGCCAATGTTATATTCTTGTTTTATCACAAATAGATCTTAGTCAGAGAGAAACAACTGTACACATCGGTCGAATAATAACAACTGAACAGAACAATCGTTAGGATTCACAACAACAACATATTAAAATATCACAAGGATTACGACATAGGGTGTCCATGTTTATACTATATTACACTGGCCTTGACAATGCGGTTGTTGGCCTCAGCATCAATGTTAGCAGAGCGATATAGTGTGCTACCGAGATAGGTGAAGTGCTCCATGGCTTGAAGCCTCTGACCCTTCACTGTTCTGTTTGGTTTTTGGTAAGTGTTTCCTGGCGCGGGCTGGTACAGCACTTCCGTCTTCTTCGTGCTGATGGTGAGGCCAAAGTTGTCACAGGCGGACGAGAAATTGTCCATCACCTGTTGCATATCTGTCAGATATTGAAGGGTGGACGCAGAAAGTACACCATTTGTTGTCTGCCTCGTGCAGTGGCGGCGCCAAGGGGTGGTATGGGGGGGTAATTACCTCCCCACTTTTTTGAAAATATGGTCTATATATTTCTTCTAAAAATGGATTAAAAAGCGCTGGGTAGGGGTAGATCAAATTTCCGAAGGAAAGGGACGAATCACTGGAACGAGGCAAAATGGGTGTGGTCACACTGGCCACGCCCATTACCCTCCCACTCTGTAATAGTTGGCGCCGCCACTGGCCTCGTGTATCCACTCTAACTTAGATTCCGGGGGCCTGGGTCTTACATATACAATAATAATCATGACCATAAAGCATTACATTATTCCCCTTTTTTTGACAACACAAACATAACATAACGTGTTTGTTCTTTGAGTCCTGTTCTCTTTGCATAGTATTTAAAAATAAAAATAAAAGAAATAAGATAAATTCTCCTCCTAGTCTGTTGCTACAACTGTTCCATATCTTTCAGGCATTCGCCTTTGTCTAAGAGGATATCTGTTTTCTCTGTTATTCTCTTCATCTGTTTCTGTTTTTTTGTGATTTTCATCATCAGACAAATCTTCATCATCATCATCTTTCTTACTAAACTTTTTGAAAAAGCTTATATTTCTATCCATCTTGTCTTTCTGCTGTTACTCTGGAACCTTTACGATATATAACGTTGTAAGTAGTGCTTTCAAAGTTTGCAGAAAACTCGTTCTTTTTATCTTGTTTTAACAAAACTGTATCACCAACTTTGATATCAGAAATCTTTGTGTGTCTTCTTTTGTCTGCATAGCTTTTCATCTTCTCTTTCCCTACTGCATCATTTTCCTGAGCTTCTCTGTGTCTTTTAGATTTACTTGTCTTGATTAAACAAGGTAGTTTCCCTCTAATGACCCTATTGTATAACAGTTCTGAAGGTGCAATCTTTGTGGTTGCATGTGGGGTGGATCTATAACTCAATAAAAATCTTTGAAGTTCTTGTCTCCAATTTTCTATACATGCAGCTCTAATTGCTTTTTCTAGAGGTTGATTAAATCTCTCTACCTCTGGGATCCCTTAGGGCCATAATGGTGTAGAAGGGTCAAACTTTATTCCTAGAGTCATCAAGTATCTTTCAAAATCATCACCATTAAATGGTGGACCATTGTCTGTTACTATTTCTTCAAGAAGTTCATGCATTGCAAAAACTTGATCTAATTTTGGAATAATGGTTGGATCAGCAGTAGATCTTACAATTTCTGTTATGGGGAATCTAGAATAAGCATCTACAATAACAGGTATATACTCACTACTTGGAAGTGGTCCATAAAAGTCAATATGCAGTTTTTTCCAAGGTCCAGATGGCATAGGTCTCATTCGCAATGGTTCTGGTGCTTTTTGTGTTCCTACTGCTTGACAAGGTAAACAGCTACTAACCTCTTCTGTTTCCAATTTTTCAATAAATGGAAACCAAACTTTTTCTCTGATAAGGGCTTTAGTCTTAGCAAGGCCCTGGTGACCCTCGTGAGCTAGTTTTACTGATCTTTTCCATAATGATTTAGGCACGACAATTTGGTTTCCCCGCAAAATAATTCCATTTGCATGATTAATTGTCAATGAATCTTTGGCTAGCTTGTAAGCTATTAAAAACTAGTTACTCCAATCTCCTGTTTCAATTGCTTTTTTGACTGCTTGGAGTGTCCCATCTTTTTCTTTCCTGGCGCGGGCTGGTACAGCACTTCCGTCTTCTTCGTGCTGATGGTGAGGCCAAAGTTGTCACAGGCGGACGAGAAATTGTCCATCACCTGTTGCATATCTGTCAGATATTGAAGGGTGGACGCAGAAAGTACACCATTTGTTGTCTGCCTCGTGCAGTGGCGGCGCCAAGGGGTGGTATGGGGGGGTAATTACCTCCCCACTTTTTTGAAAATATGGTCTATATATTTCTTCTAAAAATGGATTAAAAAGCGCTGGGTAGGGGTAGATCAAATTTCCGAAGGAAAGGGACGAATCACTGGAACGAGGCAAAATGGGTGTGGTCACACTGGCCACGCCCATTACCCTCCCACTCTGTAATAGTTGGCGCCGCCACTGGCCTCGTGTATCCACTCTAACTTAGATTCCGGGGGCCTGGGTCTTACATATACAATAATAATCATGACCATAAAGCATTACATTATTCCCCTTTTTTTGACAACACAAACATAACATAACGTGTTTGTTCTTTGAGTCCTGTTCTCTTTGCATAGTATTTAAAAATAAAAATAAAAGAAATAAGATAAATTCTCCTCCTAGTCTGTTGCTACAACTGTTCCATATCTTTCAGGCATTCGCCTTTGTCTAAGAGGATATCTGTTTTCTCTGTTATTCTCTTCATCTGTTTCTGTTTTTTTGTGATTTTCATCATCAGACAAATCTTCATCATCATCATCTTTCTTACTAAACTTTTTGAAAAAGCTTATATTTCTATCCATCTTGTCTTTCTGCTGTTACTCTGGAACCTTTACGATATATAACGTTGTAAGTAGTGCTTTCAAAGTTTGCAGAAAACTCGTTCTTTTTATCTTGTTTTAACAAAACTGTATCACCAACTTTGATATCAGAAATCTTTGTGTGTCTTCTTTTGTCTGCATAGCTTTTCATCTTCTCTTTCCCTACTGCATCATTTTCCTGAGCTTCTCTGTGTCTTTTAGATTTACTTGTCTTGATTAAACAAGGTAGTTTCCCTCTAATGACCCTATTGTATAACAGTTCTGAAGGTGCAATCTTTGTGGTTGCATGTGGGGTGGATCTATAACTCAATAAAAATCTTTGAAGTTCTTGTCTCCAATTTTCTATACATGCAGCTCTAATTGCTTTTTCTAGAGGTTGATTAAATCTCTCTACCTCTGGGATCCCTTAGGGCCATAATGGTGTAGAAGGGTCAAACTTTATTCCTAGAGTCATCAAGTATCTTTCAAAATCATCACCATTAAATGGTGGACCATTGTCTGTTACTATTTCTTCAAGAAGTTCATGCATTGCAAAAACTTGATCTAATTTTGGAATAATGGTTGGATCAGCAGTAGATCTTACAATTTCTGTTATGGGGAATCTAGAATAAGCATCTACAATAACAGGTATATACTCACTACTTGGAAGTGGTCCATAAAAGTCAATATGCAGTTTTTTCCAAGGTCCAGATGGCATAGGTCTCATTCGCAATGGTTCTGGTGCTTTTTGTGTTCCTACTGCTTGACAAGGTAAACAGCTACTAACCTCTTCTGTTTCCAATTTTTCAATAAATGGAAACCAAACTTTTTCTCTGATAAGGGCTTTAGTCTTAGCAAGGCCCTGGTGACCCTCGTGAGCTAGTTTTACTGATCTTTTCCATAATGATTTAGGCACGACAATTTGGTTTCCCCGCAAAATAATTCCATTTGCATGATTAATTGTCAATGAATCTTTGGCTAGCTTGTAAGCTATTAAAAACTAGTTACTCCAATCTCCTGTTTCAATTGCTTTTTTGACTGCTTGGAGTGTCCCATCTTTTTCTTTCTCTCTTTGTACTTCTTCAATGGTCGTGGCTTTTGGTATCGCATTTATTGTAATATATCTCACATACTCATCTGCCATGTTTTCTTTGACACTGACTGTTGTAGGATGTCTTGCAATGAAGTCAGCCGGATTATCTTTTCCGGGCTTGTAAATAACTTCGAAACAATATTGCTGTAAGCGGAGCACCCATATTTCAATGCGTAATGATGGTTTTGATTTAGGGTTCCCATAAATCACCTCCAAAGGCTTGTGATCTGTTATCAGGTTGAAACTTTTTCCATAAAGATACATATGAAAATGTTCAGTACACCACACAATACTAGTGCTTCTATAGTGATTCTATGTTAATTATTGCGACTTTCGATATGTATGATTTACAATGTAAGCCAATAATTGCTATGTCGATTCAAATTAGTGGACTCCCTTTGGCAAAAATCACAAATTGCCTAATTTTCTGCTAAAAGATGTATATTTTTGTGTAAGTTTTGTTTGCATTGAAGCACGAAGTTGCTGGAGGTGTTGAGAGAACCAAAGAGAAAAGATTCAGATGCTTGGCATTTAGTTAAAGCTGCAAACATAACAAGAAAGGACATGTAGAAGATCAAGAATTCATTTAATGGAACATTTGCTGAAGACTGTCACAAAGATCATGTTCCTGCAGCATTGAAAACCCTTGTTCGCTTGTTGTTGAAAGGTCAAACCACTTAGTTTGATCCGAATGACAGCCAAGCATGCCTCACAATTTCACAACTTATTCTCTTAAATTGTGTTGTAAAAAATCGAGGTCAGCGAACTGAATCCAACAGAAGTACCCATCATGTTAAATTTAGAGAATGTTCACTTTTTTATATGCTGCTTTAAAAAATTATGGTGCCACTAGAGATATATCTTTGATTGAGGCTTATTACAAGCTAGGACTGTGCAAAGCGTACGACAGAGTTTTGTCTATTACCACTGAAACAGCTAACCGTGTTATTGAAAAGGCTTATTATAATCAACGAAACGAAACGAAACGAAATATTGCGAAATACTGTGAAATAATACGAAATATGAAAAAATATGGTCAAATAACATCAAAGTACGCCAAAATTCTCAAACCATATCTCAAATATTCACTTCTGTGGACCCAGTGCGGAAGACAGACCAGCCATGAGCATACAGAAAAAGCGGAAGTCTGCACTACGGACTAACAACATTTCGCTAATTATCACTTTTTCCCGGCCTTAAATCGAAAAGTTTGAAAAAATAAGCGTGTTCACGTTTTGGGGTTTTCGTACATTAGAATACCATACATGCATCACTACAAACTGTCAAAGAGGGCGGTCTCTGCTTCAGGGAAGAATTATTTCAAATTTTCGCTGATTATAACTTTTTCCCGGCCTAAAATCGAAAAGTTTGAGAAAAATAAAAAAAACCAGTGTGTCCACTTTTTGGGACCATAAATGCATCGCTACAAACTGTTTAAGAGGGCGGTCTCTGCATTCAGGGAAGAATTATTGCAAAATTTCGCAAAATTTTGATAATCAGTGGAATTGGTTGAGACTTGGTTAAGAAAATCGACAATATTTGCATGCTTTCTCGCAGGGCCTATTTTAGTGTGCAGTATTACACACTTTGTGCAGTATTAATTTAAAAATGTGCAGTATTGATTTCGAAAATGTGCAGTATTGAATTTTGGGATTTGTGAAAATGTCTAATTGCCGCTATCCCAGATTCTCGCTTTGTTCACAAAATGTGAATTTTCCCCGTCAGTTCGATATAGAGGTCATGTAATGCAAATCTCGTATGACCATCGGAAAGACTCTCTTATGAAAAGAAACAAAAAAGAAATGACAAGAAATTTCCAAAAATTGCAACAACAAAATTTCCTATAAAAAATGTAGTTATAATTGTGCAGTATTAAAAATTTCTTAAAATAGGCCCTGCTTTCTCGGTTCCTTTAGCAGTCTCGCTTTTTTTATCGTCTCTTGCTCAAAGCCATCAAATTGTATAAGTTTAATTTTTACAGCTCTATATGCAGTGCAAAACCTCCCCTATCAGCCTCTTAATGCAAAACAATCTTACTTTAATTGAATTCAAATTCAAGGTGATGTTTGTCGCCTAATCTTTAACGGAACTTCGGTAGTTAGTTTAAATTTTGACAACATAACTTTCCATTCTTTTCGAATATAAAGAATAAATGCGGTTTTCAGGGTCAGGTGAATGCCATGCAGTCCTCAAAGCCGTCTCAGTAGACATCAGACAGTCTATTGTTTGCGCTGTCTGGGTAAAAAGTGATATATGGTTTTGAAAGTGCCTCGCTGTTGGAATGCCTGTAGCCATGGAGTTTTGGTATTTATTGAAATCTAACAAAAAACTGTATTGCACTGATGTGTGTTTTGGTCTTAGAGATGAAGTATTTACGCAAAGACCTCTCGTACAAGGTATAAAACTGGTACCTTGGCTTACTGGTTTCGATATTACCCAATTCCCCAATTCCCCGATTCCCCGATTCCCCGGTTCCCCGGTTCCCCATTCCCTGTTCTAGTAATAGCCGCAAATAAATGCGCTCCAATAATAACTGAATGCACCAGGCAATTATAAGGATATTATGCATTAACTTCATTCTATCACATAATACAAACAGAAGCATCACTGACTGACAAGAAATAACCAAAACTGGCATTTCAAGGGCACAGATCTGAGTGTAGTATTATGTAGAAGCTATTAGAATTCCATGGAGAGTATCTTAAAAGATAAACTAAGGTTGAATAAACGATCAGGATGTAATACTAGGCCACATTACGTATTTAGCGTAAAAGTAGTAAAAAACGTGTTCACAGCATGACTAAGCAAGTTTTAACTTAAAGTGTCAATCAACGATACTACGAGTCAAAACATGATAATAGTAAATGTCTTGGCAGAAACCGGCATACCGTAAAAACCAGAACCTAAGACGCTGAGACCTAGGACCTTAAAGTACTTAAATAAAAAAGGACCCTTAACACCAGAAGGGTCTTCACCCCGATAAGACAATAGTTGGTCATTTGTATTTTGCGAAAATTCTTTAATTTTATCGAGTCTTTTGATGCCTACTCAATTGACAAGATTTTAAATAGAAGCCAATATTTCGGACAATGTTCGGCGAGTTTTCGCAAAATACAAAAACCCCTAGCCATTTTGTATTTTGCGAAAATCTTTGACACCACCCCCGTCCTTTTCCAGCCACGCGGGTTCCGGGATGCTTACTGTTATGGTCTTTCGCTGGAATGGGCAATTCACAATTAGGCCGTTCATGACTTTGGTGTGGTTGGTTTTTGGACCATTTTCCAAAATGTGTTAATAAGTTATCTAACGTTAAATGGGACATGAACTAGGCTATCTGCATGAACAGAGTCGCCCTGAATATGAATTGCATGTTTTCGGTCGTTGATCTGGGCAAATAAAGTTTTTTAAAATCAGTTTTCGCATTTTACAAAATACCACCTCGAAACTTGAATTTTGCGAAATTTCGCATTTTCGCATGATGCGAAAATTTTCGCAAAATACAATGAGCCGTCTTCAAATGAGTCTGTCATGGGGTCAGACAGCGACAAGGAAGTTTACGGCAGCCTTTTCGGCTTCTTCTAGGTATCTCTTATTTTGTTCCTTCTGAGAGTGGTTGCCACAGAACTATCGATATTTTCCTGCAAACTTTGCACAAATCTTTATGTTAAAAAATGTATCCTGAAAACCTCTGCCATTGGATTATAGAAAATGATTATCAAATAATTATTAAATTTATTTTTATGCGGGGAATTTTTGAAGCTGACCTCTGTTAGTAGATATCAGTTCCAGAATCATTTCGTCTATTTTTTCTAATTTCGGGTCTATTTTCAATGGCATCTAGTTTATTTTTGATTACTGATATCCTGGAAGTTCAGCCAAAAACAATACATAAAAGGCAGCGTTTTTACATTAGTCGATTAAAAATACTTTATTGTGTCTAAGAAACCAAATTGTCTTTGCGGGTACATACAGTATGCCCTTAGAGATGCCAAAATTTAAAATTACACACCAAAACAAATTACAATAGCATTTATATAGTAAACTTCTGTTTACACACCCCATGATTTGCCAATAATGCCATTTTTTCAGAATAGGGAGGACAGAATCCAAAATCATGCAAAAGCGACAAGCAGCAACCAAAGAAAGTGCCAGTATCTTCATGCGGAAGAACGCTGTAGTTGGCACCAAAGGGCTACCTTTAAAACACGGAATCCGGAATCCGTAATCCGCTCCGACGTCCATTGGCTGTTTATATTGATCTCAAAGCGAGACTATTTTGAACCAAACTTGGAGGCTGTGTGCTGCATATTTCTCAGCGTACAGAACCATTGTTTGAATCCCTACAGAACAGTTAAGGCTAGTTCTGTAGGGATTTAATCCCTCCAGGGGTTTACACTTGGTTGCATCAGGTTGCTGCTTGCTGCAACCTGCAACTCATTGTAACGTACTCGTGCTGTTTACACATAAAAAAAGATGCAACCTCCAGCGATATCCGGTTGCAAAAACTCGCAACAAGTTGCAGTACTTTTGGCGGGAATCCTGGAGACCAAGTAAAAATCAACCAAAATGGAAGCAGACGCTGGCTTCAGGGTTATTGGATCTGCAGCTTCAGTGTTATTGATTCTGCTGCACAAACGAAAATTAAGACGGAAGCAAAGGAAAAAAAGACTTTGGGTGAAGCAGTGGATCGCCAGACGCAAAAATTTAGGGGCTTACCATTCCCTTCTCAGAGAATTGGCACTGGAGGATGTATTTTCTTACAAAAATTGTTTGCGAATGGATGCTGCCATTTAGAACTGAGTCCGACTCAGTGAGTCGTCACCAGGAAAAACACGATCACGACACGGAGTAAAAACCACATGACATTTTGTAGTATTTTTATTGGCCAGTGACCTGCAACCTATTGCAACTTCACCGGAAAATAGGATCTTGATCCTAAATTAGTCGCAGGTTTTGCAGTAGGTCGCAAAATGAAAGTTGCACTAAGTCGCACATCCGTTTACACGTGCAACTTTTCAGTCGCATCGTGTTAGTGCGACAAGTTGCATGAAGTTACATATGAAAAGTTGCATGTGTAAACCGTGCTTAAAGCTTAATGTTTTAGGCAAATGCAAGAAAATGACCGCAGGAAATCATTCTGTAGTTTGTTTAATCTACAGGGGCGTGTTTGCCAGATTTTCTGCTTACTTCGTTTGGAGAATTTTTTCTGCTAAAGCTGGAATTTAGCTTTTTCTCCAGGGGTTTCAATTCATAGCACACACAAACAGAGAAAAACGAAAATAAATGCCTATTCTACTTTAAAGCGTTAAATAGGCCCTGTTTTGAAGCACTTTCTTACAGGTGAATCTAACGAACTTGTTTTAGTGCGTGTGCAGCTATAAGGCGCGGATCCAGACGGGAGAAAAGGGGGCAAGTGTTCCAGTTAGAATTTTTATAGCGCATGTCAATTCTCCTTTTTTGGAAAATAATGATCCTAATATTATTAGATGAAAGTTTCTGAAAAATTACAAATTTTTTGTCACCTAATTTACTCGCATATTTATATTGTGTTTGATGTGTCCTTGACTTTGAGCTCATGCATATTGTTCATTGGTATTTGCGATCTTTAATCAAGCAAATCAAAGTTATGCCCCCGGTTTTCGATGGTTTATTCTGCAGACCAGTGGCCATACTGAGGGGAGCAAAACTTGTGGCGGGAGATCAAAAACCTAAAAATTTAACTTTCGGTTGATCACTTTTTTTGAAAATGTTTAGTTTCTGGAGAACAGGGTGAATAGATTACCTTCTCCACATGGCAAGTTGTCACGGCACGTAATTAGAGAAAAATTCCTCAACTGTGAGGGAAGAAATGGGTAGAAATAGAAAAGGATAAGAGACTAATCGAAACAAAACAAGAACTTATGGCGGTGACAGTGTTGGAATCAGAAAACGGTCAAGCCACGGCATAACCAGTAGACGTGTTGCCAGGTAAGCCTTAATGGTGTAGTGGTGTAGTGCTATCAAAATAACAAAAGAGACAAAATGTTACGAAAAACAGTAGCAAAAGTAGAAATTTACCAATTTTCGGCATTAACAAGGGGTGTAGCCCCCCTAAGCTTCCTAGCACTACACCCCCTAGTCAGCCCCAAAGCATGGCCTTCCAAATTGAAAATGTTCTGGTTACATTCGACTTGGTTTGGTCATGTCTTGCCTAAACTCAAGTTTATTTATAAAGACGGTCCTTGCGTATCAGTGATCTTAAATTTAAATTCAGCAAATGATAGACAACGTTTAGTCGAGATAAAATAATATAACTATCTTGGTTTACTTAATGGGAGCCTCTTTTCTCTTGAGTTAAAGAAATATTAGCATATTTGCTGGAAGTTCAGGGCTTCCAGTAAACGATAGTAAACATAGTGGGGTATAACGCTGAAAACTAATTATGCCTAATTACAAGCAAAGCAATACAATGAGGCGACAATAAACAGTTGTATGGTACATTATTCACACAAAATCAACAGCTACTTTCCTCTCATTTTTCTCCTCCGCGAGTCTGCGCGCAGGCTAAGGTAGCCAAGTACCCTGGTAGCCAAATACCCTGGCGTCGATAGAGCATGCACGTTTAAAAATGTTGAAAAGCTTTAGGATTTCAAAAAAATGTTGATCAAATATAAAAATGATGAGTACAGGGCGCCACCATCTTCAAAAGGCGCAATCTCTGCTAATCATACGGGCGTGGCCACAAAAAATTTTCCTGGGGCTAAACCCCCGGACCCCCATTATTTGCTCCAGTCAAAAAATTTTCTGGATCCGCGCCTGGCTATGAAAACTCTCTCTTACGTTTTCGCTTGAGTTAGAGTAACTACCATTAATAATTATGTATAACGCTGTTGCTAAAGTTTCAGATAACTGGTTTTGCCGCATAAGAACATTATCAAGCGTTTTAAAGGGTGTTCCCCGACAAAATTTGCTGTAATCAAACCTAAAGGCCCTTTTAGAGGCATTGCGTCAGTCTTCATTTTCCATAGTTTAGTGTTTAAAACATTGACTGAGCTGAGGTATTGGCAGTGGACATAATAATTGAATTTCATGCCGCTTGCAATAAAGTTTTCATCAACTGGTGGGAATGCGATGACGTCATACTACCACTCGTGCATTAGGTTGCCTTAGTTTGTAAGTATGACGTCTTGTACGTTAGCTGACTATGACCTAGTGCCGACCACTTAATAAAAATCCAAAGTTTCATGCTTTTATCATAAAAATGAACAATTTGGACGACAACAGGTGGACTATATAAGTCGCAAAAATGTTCTTTGAGAATCATGCGCACGCAACTTCCTCGTAACTTAATAAATGATTCGGCGTTTAACGACGTTGACAAAGACCGGCTGTTATGATAAATCAAGAAGTAAAATGATTCTCATCGTCCTGATCTTTGCTGTTGGAGGTTTGTATATCAGCAAATGACACTAAGAAGTTTTCGCGGGTCACTTTTTCGTTTTTGTTGTGCTTAAGAGATCGTTTCTTTTCACGTACCCGAGAAGGGATGAGGTTAAGGACTTTTTGTTCATTTGTGACAGATAAATAATTTTGGTTTTAATATATGTTTTATACACACAGTTTTAAAAAGAAGGATTGCTTTAAGTTGTTATTCTAAACTGTTTCTAGCAGGCCCTAACCTTATCTCTATTCTGTGTCTTATCAAACTGTGCCCGAACTCCAACGTTACGTAAGTTTTGGATGAGTGAATGAGATGCTCAAAGATGCTCAAAAATTACTCCGAAAAACCAAAGGACAGGGGGCAGGCTTAAGGCCGAGGCCACTTTACATTACATTCAACCTAAGGTATATTTACTTTTTCAGAAGAGGTGTTTACATTTGATCGATTATACGGATCTTATAAAAAAGGAAACTTTTGACACATTTTAAGTGTGAACACTTTCAGTCATGTCATTATCAAATAAATTAGAATAATCCTTTTTTAGAATTGCATACAGATTTTCAGCAAATTGTTTGGAATAAGCCTATCTGTTAGAATTTCAAGCAGATTTTCTTTATAACTCGTCGGGATTTATTAAGGGAATTTTAATGAAAATGCTACTGAAGTCCCTTTGCCACTCAAATCAAAGATCCAGATTTGCCAATGAGCTATCAGCTATCTCTGCTATCAGGAAAAGACAAAAGAAATCAAGGACTAAGGAGCTTAAAATAATAAACCCTATAATCTAAAAATTGTTATAAGTTACTTCCAAATACAGTTCATGTGAGTTGGGCATAGATATTTTTCCTGTCTCATTGAGTTTTTAATGGCTATTTGGTTTTTTTAAATCAAAATGTTATTTTAATCTTGGCTATTTGCTTTGTTTTAAACAATACATTTATTGCTACAGACATTTTGCAAACATGATTTGATGCAGAAAAATATTCGAAACAGTTTCTGAACTTGGGAAAGTTTAGCCTACTAGCCACTCTTGAATGTCACATAAAGCTTATTCAGTATTTGATGTTTCATCGACTATGCTTACCTTAACTACAAGTTCAAAGTCAATTATTTTGTGTTTTTTTCTGGCTTTGCAATTGACTTATTTGTTGAATCTTGGCCATGTTATGCCAAACAATTTGAACCTGGTGATAGAAGCATATTAGAAGAAAAACTATGAAAAAAAATAAGTTTACTCAGAATTTACTAACTCCCCTACCTATATGTAACTCATAGCCTTTTCCAATAGCCTATAATGGACAACAGCCTATTGTTCAAAAATGGAGGGTCACTGGGGCTGCAGGGGTAATTGCCCCCTAGTTAATTTGTTAAAAAAGGCACTGATTCTTAATTTTTCTGACTATAAGGTCTAAATATATGGTCTGAATGAGTCCACTTATAGACATTTCAGTGTTGAAAGTTGCTGCTGGCGGTGTTTCATGGTTATGCAAACATCCATTAGTTTGGATCAGAATCATTTTTAAGTGAAACACCAGCTGTATTTTCTCGAAAAGCAGCTTTGCAAAGTTTTCAAAGCCAAGTGGTTTATATGATGAGTTGTAAAGAAAGCAATAGAAAAACAGAGCTTTCTAAATTTAATATTTGCCACTTTTAATTAAGTGAATGTACTCAGTACCGTTTTAATAAGCATAGCTTGTAGTTTATGTTTTCTTCCTAGCTATGACTAGCCATTAAACATCAATAGGAAGAGAGTAGTTTGCATTGACAGAAACCCAAAAGCTTTTTATTCATTGCAGCCATTGTGCCACCCATATCAAAGTTGAAACATAACTTTTTGTACTATTTTCTACTTGATTTTCTACCTTTTCTAATTTATAATATGTTTTCTCTTTCAGAGATCACAGTTGCAGCAAGCTTAGAAAAATATCCAGCAGGTGTGTATAGTTATCAATAATAACTGTCTAGATTCTTGCTGTATATAATATATTGGCAGCACTTTTCTTCCTTTTAAAAAGTTTTATTTGTACATATGATCTTTAATTACCCCCCAAAGGGAGAAAGTGAAGATTTTTGCATAAATTTAATGCTGTAAATTTTCAATGCTGTAGCTCATGTATGGAAAACCCTTGGAACTTGATTCAAACTTTTATTGAAAAATATGTTTAAAAGTCTTATAAAAATTCATTAACCTGCCCTTAAATGTGTTACACATTTATTTATGATAATATTCTCTCCAAAACTGGCCAAAAATGCTGCTATTTTATATATTTGTTTGAAAATACAGCACTCCTCTTATCTTAAGGATTGGTTTGATAAGTTCATTATTTGTCACTTGCAATATTGATTGTCAATGATAATGAGCAAACTTTCCACTAAACTTCTCACTAAAAAAAGTTGATGTATAGTGAATAGTGAAATGTATAGTGAAATGTTTAGTCGTCTTTAATATTGAATTGCATATTTCCGTTGAGATGTGGTTAATTCAGTTTCCTAATGTTTCCTGTGTTTTGACATACCGACTTTGTATGAACTTGCTTGAGTCCCAAAACATGACTGGAAATGTGTCTATTGCTGAAACATTTATTCCTCACAATTTACCGTTTTGCGCGAGCGATCAAACATTCGCGTGGTTGTCCTTGCGCGAGTGGTCACTCCTGTTTTAACAAAAAGTCTATCTCTAAGCGATATTTTGTGTTCTTTCAGGTTGTGCAGTCAGAATTTCAATATATTCAAAAATAAATTTATTGATGATGTCTCGGTGGCACTTTCTGGAAATGTTGATTTGCTTTTATAATACACCAAAATCTCATTTAAAACATAAATCATATTACATTCCAGGATAAGGATGATCCTAACAAGCTTTTGAGGGCACACTCTTTTAAATTAACGAACAAACAATTTCATTTCACAATTTGTATTGCCTCACTCGTTGTTCTTTCGATTGTTTAATATTTGAATATACTCTTGAATATACTTTTTACCAGCAAAGCCTCTTTTTATACGATTTAAGCCCCCCCCCACTATTTTGAGAACCCCCCCCCCAGATTTCTCTCAACGCTCCGCGGTGCCTGCAAGACCATCCTCTACCAATAGTATATGTTTTAGGAATATCAGGGTAGTCCATGTTTTGACAAAATAGGAAAGGGGAAATTGAAAATGGTTAGAGTTAAGTGTGTGTTCGGAAGTAGGAATACCGTATTTCCTCTAATGAACGCCGTCCTCTGATAAACGACGTCCTCTTTTGAACGCCGCACTCAAATTTGGAGTTTGTAGTAAACGCCACGGCGTTCTTTAGATGAAATACGGTAGGTGTCGGTAGGTGTGGAAATATGAAATGTGTTTCTAACTTCAGAATGATGTTTGAATTATAAATTATGAATCTGTTTAGCCTATTTGCTTTATTGTTTGATGCCGTGTCTTCACAAAAAAGCAGAACAGACACTAGTCTTAAAATGAAAGCTTGATTAGAAGAAAGTATTTTTAACAGCCTGTCATCAAATACTCGCTTTTTGATGATTTTAGGCAGAGCTGGTTTAAATTGCAACTCGAAATTTCAAGCTTTATTGATCTAAATTCCTGTCTTACATCCCAAAGCGCTGTAAAAGAAGCTGTAATAAAAAACACTTATTTTTAGAAGTGTGTTAAGTTCAATGCTCTATTAGACGTTATGGATATGTTTCCGCAAGGCTCATTCACTGATCCTTGTATCAACATTGTTGTGTCTTACATGAAAGCTCTCACAAATTGGGTTTAACCAAAACAGTTTCCTTGTACAATTAAAGCAAGCTTTTAAAACACAACAAACCATCTGATTTTTCTAAGCACAGTTACCATGTGAAATAAATTTTGCCAAGAATCGATTTTTGTATTTTACACGAATGCCACAAGAGTACGTAGTCAGGAGCAAATGGTCCAAACTTAACGGTTGCTCATAAATTACTTTTTAGACTTCCCAGTACCCTGTGCTTGTAGGCCATGATCTCACAATCAGCAACCCAATATCATTTATTTCCCGGGGGGGGAGATAAATTATATTTGGTTGCTGATTGCGAGATAAATGCCCCCCCTGGACCTTTTTTGAACTCTCTCTGGGTTCCTCGGGGAATCAGTTGTTCAAACAAGAAACTCAGTGGCGGATCCAGCCAAAAATCTGACTACCGCCGAAATGAGATAGAGGGTTGACCACACCCTTTAGACCACACCCATTTCTTGGTCACACCCGGTTTTCTAAAATGATTATTGCTTTCTATAATTTCTTATGTAGACCATTTTCAAGAGACAAGCGGTGCTTTACTGAAATTTCATGTATCCTTACAACAAGCTTGAGAAGAAATAAATAATCTTATTCAATATTCTGAGGATGGATATTCTAAAAAAATTTACGGCATTTAGACGAGGAACACCATCGAATTAGGAAAAAAGAACAATTTGGCAGAATTTCGAAGTGTCGCCTAAAACTCGCATTTAGTCGGACAATTACTTATGAAAATCAGACCTGTTGAAAATTACTAAGTTTAAAAAGCTAGATAAAATTTGCAATTATTGAGAGCAACTTTTGTTAAACAAAGAATCATACTTTTGGCGAATATTGTGGGCCTGACTTTTAATTTAATATTCTTTTAAAATATATTCCTACGAATAGTTGTGTATTGTACAGAATAATGGGTCACATCGGCTTTGAAGTTACAGTTTGCCCACTTGCAGAATATGTAGGCATCCCCCCATCTTTCTGTAACGTTTGAGCCGCGTTGAGCGGCAGTACTACTTCAACCCCCCATCTGAGCGGTAGTCAACTCGGTTGTTCATTGGTTGTCAACAAAATTTGTATGCATCCCCCCAGGTTGGCAGTGATTTCTGACGATTTGATTGGTTTAGGCAAGCTGACTACCGCTCAGTGCAGCTCGAATCCGCTCTACACCGACTCAACCCCCCTAGCTAGCAAGCCATGATTTCATCATCCCCCATGCTAGCCTTTTATTTGCAAACATGTGGCTCGGCAATTGGCACGCAATTTCCATAGCGATATGGATTAAAACATCTGTCTCTGTGGAAATTTCAGGCATGTTCCTAGGATGAAAGGCTTGGTTTGCAGCGCGATCAAACATTTTCAATAATTAATTATGGTTTAATTAAAGTAGTAGGATAAACATGAAAATGATCCTTGTTTCTATAATTTTTTGAATAATCTGACTACCGCTCGAGCGGTAATGGCGGTAGTCTGGATCCGCCACTGAAACTGTCCTACCTTTCAACAGCTCGATTTTCACCACGTTTAAATCTTTAAAAGAAATCTCCAAGTCTGCCCAGATCAAGTTTCATTCGACAAGCTCCATTAACAGGTCATCTTCTTGCCCTTTTCAGTCTTCTGATTGCGTATCAGGAATGAATTCCACGTCAATGTTGCCTATCTTTCTAGAAACGTAGGTCTAGAAACCTAGAAACGATACAAATGAACTCGAAATAGTTCCCGATCTACCCAGGACAGCAAAGACTTGTCAGTACCTTTGAAAACATTGCATCACAGACATTTCCATATGATCGCTTGTCAAATGAAAAATCTGTGACAGCGAATTAACAGGCAATTAAAAAGGATTAATTCTTGCTGCTTCCTACAACTTCAAGGGCATACCGGAAAACAAGGACCCAGGACCGAGGACCAAGACTGAGGATCAGGACCGAGGACCGGGACCAAGGGCCAGGACCAAGGACCCAGGACCAAGGACCAGGACCAAGGATCAGGACCCAGGACCAGGACCAAGGACCAGGACCCAGGACCGTATATGTTTTCGACGATGCACTCGCTGTTTCCCTTTTAAGAATACCAAGTTATAACATTGCATACCATGAACAATTGTCCATAAAATCCAAAAGTTTTACACATCGAACAAAAGACTGCACATCATTGTAAGGGGTAAATGAATCTGATTTTATTTCTGACCTTGTGTTGTTGAATAGGAGACTCAAATTAGACGAACTGTCTCGGGACAGCGATTTATGGGTGTCACGATTAGATTCCAAAGAAATTTCCTTTCTGCTCTTTTTCAGATGCACTCGTTTCTTTTTATTTAAAAGGAGACCGCTTTCACAAAGATTTAGTGGTATTTTTCAGAGTAGAAACATTTTATGGAATAGTAAACCTTTTTCAAATCCAGATCAGGACTTTTGACACAATGGTTCAATCTGAAATGATTCTGGCACCGCGGAAGGGGGCTGTTCTTAAAACCATACAAAATCGCCTTGTTCTTGATTATGAGCGTGCTTAGCGCCCCACCCCAAAAAAACGTTTTAGCCCCCTCACTCTTTAATATGCTCCGCGGTTCATGAAAAACATAACGAAGGGAGTGCAGCCATTCCTGCTTCTAGAGCATGGAAACGTTCCAATGTCTTGCTATTAGAACGGCCCTTGGTCCTGGTCCTGGGTCCTGGTCCTCGGTCCTGGTCCTTGGTCCTGGTCCTGGGTCCTGGGTCCTGCCTTAAATTCCTGGGTCCTTGTTTTCCGGTATGCCCAACTTCAAGCAATTTGTAAAGCGAAAAGTCTGTTAAAGTTGTCGCTGCTAAAAGTCTGTTAAAGTTGTCGCCTTTATCGCGATAATCGCCTAGAGGAAACCAGGCTTTACACGATCACATTCTGTGATCACAAAAAATATGTGATGCAAATGTGACCTGAATATGATCGTGTAAACCGGCCTTAAGAATTTTCAAGGTTATTTTTAGTTGCCTATTCAAATCAAGATAACAATTTGAAACCGTATTCCATAAAACTCATTAGGCAATAGAATATTGCTTTTGAATTACCCTGCGTTTCAGATCCAATAAAATTTCAACATTTTACAATAGCTCGTTGATGTAACTGTTGCTATAACAAAAACAAATATTTTCCCTACCAATAACCTGGCCAAATTCTCTATGGACAACGATATTGTGGCGTCCGATACAAGGAAACATGCAGATATTCAAAATACAAGGTTTACATTAATTAATTGGAGCCTCAAATGGGGCCGCTGAAACAGATTAGGCATCCCACAACCCCGCCCTTGTTCCAAGCTTTCAACAGCCCTGTCCATTTACATCTATTTTATCCATACAAACCCATTCCCAGATCAGGCACCCTATTTCTTCCTTTTTCCAACCCATATGGCCCGCCCTTCCCATAGCCACACTCAACTCCGCCAACTCTGACTTTATGCCGCTATGTACAGGTGATACACTTAACTCTTTCTACTTCTCCCAGCCCTCTATTCCGAGAGCCATGCCGTACCATGTTAACCCTCCTCGCTCATTCAATTAAAGTGCATCCATACACTCTACAGTACTACTTTAATAAGCACTCTGTGACGATTGCTACCTTTTGTTGATCGTTATAATATATATATTTTTTATTTGTATTTTCTGACGTTTGCAACCGTGATCCTGGACGCAGGATTGCGAGGGGTGCCTACGAGAAATGGGCATACCGAATTAAAGCCCCGAAATGTCCCTCGTGGGTTTCTGGCTGATGAGTTGCTTTTTATCATTTTCTACCCATTTTTTGCCCATTTTCTGCCCAAACACAGAAGGGGCTTACGCAAGGAAACCGGGTCTACAACCCGGATATAAACCGGAAACCGGGTCTATAATCCGAATATAAACCGGAATCCGGGTCTACAATCCGGATATAAACCAGAAGCCGGGTCTACAATCCGGATATAAACCGGAAGCCGGTTTCTTGGTCTACAATCTGGATATAAACTTTTCAATGGCAAATTGCTGCAGATTTAAAAGTTATGGTTGAGCACATAAGTTTTTCACTGCAGCTGTTTTTATTACACGGGTTTTTATTATTTGACAGATATGATTATTTCTACGATTCATCAACCAGTATTTGCTACTGCTATTAATCATATTACTGATTTGTTTGGAAGACGAGACTAAAATCCTATTGTATAGCTGCCATCTTTCTGTCCATTTGTCTGAACCAATGAGGAAGCATGATATGGGCATGCGCATTTAGACTAAGGCAAAATTTACATCTAATGGTGCTTCCCAGCATTTAATCAAAACTATTATATACCAGAATTTCGTTCTCACTCTCCTCGTGACGGCGCCCTTTCTCTGTATTTCTTCATTTTTTATTTCGCGACAAACTAATTCCCCTAAGTTCCAAGAATCTTCCTACCACAGAATATATTGCGCGGTGTGACAATAGTGACGTTGGCTTTAACTGCGCATGTGCATATGATGCAATATTTTGAAAAGCTAAATGCTGGTTCGTGTAGCAACCACTGATAGCAACCTAATATTGTAGCAACTTACTATGCGCAGGAGCATTAGCTCATATGACACATGTAGATAAACATAAAACATTTCATATTACATTTCGTTTCATATTTTATCTCCCATTATGCTGTTGAAGTTGATATATAAATTACCGTTCTGTTTTGTTTGGAATCCATGGGTTGTTCTATCTCCTTCACTTCTTGACAATTCGTCTCCCCGACACGATACTTTTATCAAGGATAGGATTTCGATAAAGGGCGAGCTTACCGCATTGGACTAAAAACAGCCAAATGATAGCGACACGAAAATGAATTCTAAACTTTACAATTTATTCTAAAAAACACAACTATTCAAGGCTGTGACCTTATGCCTGTTATCCACTCAGCGCATATTACGCTATGATGGAAATTAATAGGCGCACTGATGACAAATGCGCAAAAGCCCTTTCCTAGGAATTCAGTTTGTGTTTTTGTCATGGTAACATCTTAAAGAGGTTTTTTATAGACATAAGAACCTTTTAGATTTCCTTTGAATACTTAAACCTCGAGCTTATCATCACGATCTGTAACGCATGGATTCCAAATTGCTTTTCTTATCACATAATAGAATTTCCTTATGTTTCCAACATTTGATTGTTTGATAACATTACTGTTGCATTGAATAGCAGAACGTATGCTATCAGGATATGAACGCTACACCTGTAGAACTCTTTTTCTGCACTGTCGTCTTGTACGAATATAAACAAATTCATACTTGTGTTCTCGTAGATTTCACAAATGCAAGCTCATCAGAATGCAAGGAATGTTCAGGCATGTTATTTTTATTTATCTATTTGTTGATACCTTTTCTTTATGAATAAGAAGGCAATTGACAAAGTAATTTATTATTCAATATGATAAAAACTGCCCAGTAGATTATGGTTAAAGGCAGTGTGTCGCGCTTTTCATTATATTTTGTTTGTTGAATTTCGAGAAAACTCGAAATTAGAAAAGCGTGACAAGTTAGTACACTTGCTCAATAGCAAGCAAGTTAGATTTCTCCATAACAGGTTTACCACTCGGATACTGCCTTGTAATATTAAATTTTTAAGTGATTAAGTGCCCGAATTACAGTATGTTTAAGATGGCTTTGAAAAAGCAAACATTTCAGCACGTCAGAACATAGACCGAAAATTCCATTTTCAAGTTTTGTAAGATTGTTTGCATATTTCAAGTATGTTTAAGAATGTCCCAGCTTTCGCATGTAGCCTGACCAAATGTTAAGTCAAAGGGTCTCTGAATAAATCTTGATCAAAGCATTTCTATTTGTAAAGGGGCTGGAGTGGGCTAGACAGCCCTGTGAGATCGTTGTTACCATGCTGAATGTAAAAATGAAATATGCTTCAATTGTGAACGAATGACTAAGCGAAGAATCAAACTAAAGAGTGCATTTGACCTAAAGGATGAATGGAGAAAGTACAAGGAAAAAACCTTGCAATAAAGCTTTGTGATTTTAGTGAGGGATGAAAGGAATAATGTGAATGATAATGTTACTGAAATGTGCCACTCTAGGAGTTATAAGCACTGAGCCACTCACGATGAGACACGAAATTATTTTCAAAAGCTTCACCTTTCTTTGCAAATAGCCAGCATACTGTTTGGTGCCAGTTGATTTATACTTGGACGATTTTGTGCATATATGAACTCTCTGTTTATCTGTTGTATCTGACTTTCTGGCTTGTACGATGCAAAACATTTGTATGTCTACATTATTAGTCGTCATTGTTAGAGATGATCGCTTCTTATTGCACCGTTGTGGGTTTTTGATAACAATTATAAAATTGGTATCATTGTCTTTGTTTTTAGGAAGTTTACAGATGGAAGTCAAGCCAGCTGCTGCTTGGTTTAAACCATACGCAGAGTCATATGGGTTTCAAATGAGTTGTACTGTCAACAAACCAACCAGTTTGTCAATTTGGTTTCATCGACACAACCAACCAATAGATGGTGCAAAGAGCTTACTGTTACCAAATAGGGGCAACCGTTTTGCTGAAGTTAAGATGACGAATTGCACGGCAACTGTTACCATAGACAAGTCAAGGATGTCAATATGTAGTACAGGGGAATACATATGTATTGCCTTGGATAATAATAAAAAGCAGCTGATGAGGAAAACTGTAGACATTCAGGCATTGATTGATAGTAAGCATTTCCCTTGCTTCTTATCCTTCATTATTTGTCATATCCTTATGATTCTGTTTATTCTTTCTATATTTACACTACATTAAAGTTGAAGTCATGACCCCATTCTGCAAGTGGAGGTGGGCTTGATAGCTTGACTTCCGCAGGCAAACAATTATATTTTCCTCAAGAATTAAATTACAATTAAGTCCTTAAACGACTTTTAAACCAAATTGAATCTTGATGAGTCTCAAGAAGAGATATGTCGAGGGGGGAAGGGGTTGGTAAGAGAAGAATTGTGTTGCCAGCATTCGAATTTGTGATTGGAAGAAAATGCCAACAACAAAAACAAGTGACAAAAATTGAAAAAATTGACTTCCTATGTATTGATTATTATATACTCCAGTGTTCAAGGCAGATTTACAGCGAGGATTCAACTGTTTTACCCCTAGCGCATACTCTAACAGAACTATTGCTTACTTCCACACATCCACTGGTATTTGTGAGTACGTCGGGGTAATGTCGGGGTTAGCGACAGAAGTGCGAGTAATCGGCATTGATCGCAAATCGGCACTGATCGCTATCACTTCGGTCGTTCATCGGGTTCAATGGAGCATGTCTCTTAATGTTGCAGCCAAATGCAAAACATCGAGTTCCTTTCTTGTCCATTCTTTAAAAATATTCTCCCGCATTTTCTGGTCTATCCGATATGGCCGCTGCAAATTTATTTTGGCTTCACTTATCGGTTCTTACAAAGAAAAGATCTATCCAGTGTTCGATCCAGTCTTTTTTAGGTTAGTGGTAATCAGAGCATTTTGGAAAAACCAAAGCACTGGGTAACAATAAAAGCTGTCTGTTAGAATAAAAAGAGCGAATGGACGGTATGAGTAAAGCGGTGGCTGTGTGGGAGTATGTAAGGTGTAAGCAGTGGATACGCAAAAGTAGGCAGGGGTAAGTGGGAAAAGCAGGGAATTGGGTATAAGCAATGATTACCCGAGAATAAACAGGGAATCTTTCAAAGGCGAGTAGGGCTGTTGTTTGGAACTATACTCATTCTTGGATCTTCTCTTAAATACTTTCATTATTTGTCAAGCTTAAACTCAACTGATATTGTTGACTGTAGTTGAGGTATTGAGAATTTTTATAGGTTCGTTCTACTTCGCCCCTGACGACCAGTGTAGGCAAAGCACGAAGGAATTGATAGAAGGACTGTCGGTCAATCTCACCTGTTCCTATCTCTCCATTTCATTCACGCCATCCATTTCATTCAGACGAAGATGGCCAAACGGAAAGATTGACGTTATTTATGAGACCAAGAAGTACCTATATAGACAGCCCTATACTGGAAAATGTAACGGCAGAAAGCATCGTCTTCGGAACCTTACGATTAAAAGAATTAATGCGAATGACAGCGGAGAATACTTTTGTCGTGTAGTAAAGTTTGGTGACTGCCTCGTTGAAAAGGGAATCAACCTCAAGACACGTAAGTTGCTGAAAATGCATTATGCTTACTGAAAATCTGTTCAGTCAACTGTTGGTGAAACAAATGATGTATTTTCATATTTTATTTCTATGACGTGACGAAAGATTGCTGCAATTTCCGCAGAATATCTTTTCTTATAAAGGTAGGCATTGTGAGATACAGTGTATCGTTCCGTTTTGTTCAGTTACAAAACACATTTCTTATTGCTGATTTATTGCTGATAACACATCTCTGATTTAAAAATGCTACTCCTCAGAAGTTGTTCTAAGTTGTTAGTTTCACTTGTTTTTTATGGCCCCTGATTTGTTTCTTCCGTAAGAAGTAAAAATATGTTTGATTGAAATTTATTTGGCATTCATAAAGTCGTTCAAATTTATCTCGAAAGCGAAATTATCACTTCATTTGAAAACTGATATGACTAAATAAGTTATAATTGTAAAAAAACAGCATTCCTTGCTACTAAAATTTTCAACAGTCAGTTTTTATACAATAATACCCAAGCTTTACAAAAATGCATAATCTTTCTTTTTTAAGTTGATGTAGTTCTTCATTTGATATGCTTTTGTTTATACTCTATTGCAAAACTGTATTTCTTTTATTTCTCTTCTCCATCCTATTTTTGGTTCCTATTCAAATAGAAAGTTGATTACTCGCTGCACTTAAAAGATAGTCCCAGAACACAAAATTTATTGTATAGGCAGAGCTGTATTTTCTTCCGTCAAAGTCTTTTTAAGATGGAGTTTGTGACACCCCTAAAATATCATGTTTTCAAATGTTTTCTCGCTATTAAAGTCCTAAACTAGAAATAATCAAGTTTCGATCAAAAATCGAAGTTTTGACTCAACCTGGTAAAATAAAATGGATTTACAAAATTTCGTGTAAGCTATTTTTTTGTTTATATAATAGGCTACAGTTAATGGTCAGCCCACCATATTCCTGTCTCCGGACATGGCTTTATAGCCGCTCGGATTCTATTTCTATTAAACTGAGATCGATTTATCCTTTTTGATTTTTCAATTGTTAATCTTGTTTGTATTGAACGCCCCATTCAAAACCAGATGTCCTCGGCAGAACTGTACACCTCATCTGGTGTATAGAGAAGAATGGTTCTAAGTTGCTACCCGGAGTTTTACATATTTTGTAATGTATACTTTTTTGTCATTTAATGTACTCTGAAATGTATATGAAATTGTTTTGTTACCAATGCAGGTCCCTGCCGTGCTGGCTATCACTGCAATGTGAAAACAAATAAGGAGATACCATGCCCGGCGGGAACGTTCAGCAATGTCACTGGCCTGTTTTCATCATCCGGCTGTAAAACCTGTCCGCTTAACTCTTACTGCTCTTTGGCATCAACCGTGCCAAAAGCATGTCCTCGAATGTCCTTTGCAGCCGCGTATCATACGGTTTTGAAGATATTAGAAGGCAAAAAGAGCCTAGATCAGTGCAAAATTTGCCCGGTGGACCCTTGCGACAAATATGGTATGTAGAACCTATAGTGATGTAATTTTTGTGACATCCCGATGCCGTTTATTGACGGCCTGGTTTAGAAGTTATTCCAAAGTTCTTTGTGCAAGTAGATTAGAATCCTCAGTTGATCAAGGGCTGATACCTGATGTTGGTTTTCATGACAATATAGAAATAGAAATTCGCAGTGAACTTGACTGTTGCTGTTGATTTGATAAATTGTTTTATCAGTCACACCATTAGTCATTTTTAGTATATTAGTGAGCATGAAACCTAGGTTTGATTTGGCCCCCGTCTCGCCGTCAAAATGCATATAAAAAGTTTGAATTTTGAGGAACGAGACGGTTGCCTACTCATACCTAGGACGAAGGAGTTTGGAGTTTTTCTGAAAAGAGGACTTTCGTTATATTTTTTTACTGCAAGTCTTTTTCAATCAACACCAAAAACGTGATATGGTCACATATATTTTTAAGTATTTTTTAAATACTTCTCCTAAAAGTTATGTTTTACAAGTTGTTATTGACAAGGTGGAAGATTATACAAATCGGATGAATATTTTTAGGCCTCAATCCACTCATTCTTTGAAATAACGCTGTAATTCTTTATGATGTTGAAAATAGTGATAAACAAGCGATTTTATTCTCTAGGCCATAATTGTACCTTCCTATGTAGCAAGAAGATTGTAGAAGGCAACGCTGGCAATCCAGTACAACTTGATTGTAAATTATCAAAGCCTATACTCGTAGGCAACCTAACATGGATGCGAAACAATGAAACGCTTTCAAACAGCTCTAAGCACACAATTAGACTCTCTAGCGACTCCTTTACGTTGGTCATACGTGATATGAGGAAGAATGATGTCGGAGAATACATTTGCACAGGGGTTGAGAAGGTCATGGGGAACACAGTGGAAACCAAAATAAGGCTTACCCTCTCAACCAGTGAAGCTTGTACGTGAGACTGCTCTTTCAGATAGAACACCAAACCTCACTATTTCAGTATAATGTAGTATGCCCTTAAAAAAGCCTAAGAATAAGCATGAAGTCATATTATTGTCACTAAGAAATGTATCATAATTTCTTCAGAGAGCCATTTTTGCTTTTGTGTAATTCGCATGTTTTTTTCTTCAAATCTGTCCAGTGAAAGAACAATTCTTTAACGTAATCGTCCAAAATTACACATAAATTGAGAACATCTTGCTGCATAGCTTTCAAATGGAGGCTTAAGATTGTTTCAACCAACTTGTTTGTTTTTTAAGACTTGATATTGTTTCTATGTCATACCTATTAAGGAGCATGTTTTTTGGACACTAGACATAGCCCATGTTGATTTATTTCTGATTAACCCCCTTTGCAACATCACTTCCCGCTCTCTATCAACTAGCTATAAGCCATATCTTATTTTGTAGGGAGTGATGTAACGACTGTCATCGTCTGGGTATTTGTTGCTTGTGTTCTCATTTTGGCGATCGTTTTGCTATTGCTAGCAGTACGCCACAAAAGATCAAATAAGAAAAGGCGCAAAAGTTTAGAGGAATGTGTAACAGGATCGTTTACAGAAATTTACCTACCAGATAGAAGAGCGGTGTTTTCAAGGATTCCTTCGAATGAATGTGGTACCTTTCAGCATATTTTATTTTTGTTTAGACTTTGTGTTTTGGCTGACGAGGTTTCAGGACTCGTTTGTAACATGGCACCTGTCAAGTATTCTCTCTTAAGTGCTGCCTACTTTTTGTTTTTCAAATCCATCACCCGCATTTGTGTATGTTCTTAACGTCTAAGACACACTGTCTTCTCCCTAGATTCAGAGCCTGATTTTGATGTCTTCATCTGCTACAGTTGTGCTGATAAAGTCTGGGTAAGGAGAACACTACTAACCATGCTTCAGAAAAGCGATTTGCGTGTTTGTATTGACTATGAGGATTTTGAGCCTGGAGAATTCATCATTAAGAATATCGCCGACGCAATATCAAGAAGCCGGAACACGATCGCCGTATTATCACCAGATTTTGTCAACAGTGACTGGTGTCAGAAGGAACTCAAAATGGCTCTGTCACATCTTCATAAAAGACATCAAGTCATTCCCATACTATATCGAGAATGTTCAATACCCATATTCCTTCTGGACCGAACATACCTTGACTGGTGCAACGATGACGTTAGAAAGACATTTTGGGAACAGTTGGTAAAAAAGGTAAATGGTAGTAAATGTACCGTCGCAACCATTGAAGCCTCGAAGTTGAAAGTGACCAGCTGAAATGGCCAGCTGAAATGACCAACTTAGATGGTCAACGATGGAGCCAAACTGTGCCACTTTTGAAGTGACTGAATTGTGTCACTTATACAGCTGTCTCCAACCGGCACTAAATGCGCGCTCTTTCAAAATGGATATCTCTACACATGAAAATCCACAATGTAAATGGACAATTTTGCTAGATATGTGTATAATCATCAGAAGAGCTTTTTAGAAACAAAGAGAAATAAAGTCAGAACGGTCGGGTATGATAAGTGCTCTCCATATGCAGTGATATGCAGAAAGAAATGGAGTCAAATAGCTTCACTTCTACTGAAGCTGACTGCTTCACTAACTGAGAGTCAAATCTGTTAGGGTCCTTCTGCTATTGTTCTTTTCAGCCATTAAGCCCTGGCGCTCGAATTGCAAAATATTCGACTGTTTCTATAGACATATTCAGCTGAAGGCATGCTTACGAGACACAGAGATGCCTAAGCACTTGCTGTGTTCGGAAGATTTTCGGCATAGATTTTGCAAAGTGTACCTTCTCGGGTGGTCTCAAAATCTACCACAATGTTTCATATAACTCTATGATATCAATTATTGTCTACGGAAACGCCGGAGAATTAACCAGAATACCTGGTACCACCAGTTCAAGGCCTGCATGGACTAAATAATCAGCCTTGCTAGCGTAGTTAGTAAGGTCTTGCGAGCGAATTCGTTGTAAAAACACCGTAATATCTATCACGCTCCGCATTACTTTAGAGGCAGTTTGTCAATCAGGTCACTCGGGTCGATGCTCAGATATGGTCGGATATTTCTATAGATTTTCCGTTTTATTGGCATATCTTTTCTAAGAGGCTATTGGCAGAAAATTTTCTATTCTTCTGTCCTGTATGCCTGTAAACCTGTATCCTTGAACGTAAACAAACTCTAACTCCAGCCAAACCGCAATCGTTAAAAATCTAGGCCCTGATTTCCTTGCCCTGATTACCCAAGATGCAACGCGCAACCGTGAACGGGTCTATTCCTGAGTACAAAATTAGCTTAATTGGCGCAATTCGTGATGAGATCAAACATTCTAAGTACAAATATACATAAATGTAATCTTGCACATCTAGTGTTGTTGCCCGGGTAACGGCCATTGTTCTTTAGAGTTCTTGTCGTTTTAAGCCGAAAACCCACTCTGGAAAAAGATCCGCGGATCGGATCAGATCGTGTTGTTCTGGTCAGTTCCGTTCGATCCGCGGATCGTTTCAGATTGGAATGCACGTTGACAATTATCTCCATTAGACCTTGCCTCATGACGCAAGTGCTCTATTGTTCAAAAAGTTCCAATTCGATTTTGTACTGTACCGGAACGGTACAAAAGAAGGTTGAAATAATTTCAACTTTTTTTCGATCCGTTTCGATCCGTCGCGGATCAGTCATGTGACCGTTTTTGCATCCAAAGCGCTTGCGCACCATAAAATCTGATCCGATCCGCGGATCATTTTCCGGAGTGGGTTTTTGGCTTCAGATCAAGGGTGGGCAGGCCATAGACTTTCTCCAAGTCTGTTTCGTGCTTGAGTCAGTGGCTTGAGAGAGGAGCATCTGTTTTCTTCCTGTTGACTTCTGCGAAGGAGGAGGACAGAAAGGGGGAAGCATTGGTCTATAAAAAGACTGGATCGAGCTTCTAATGTGACCAGAGTATCGCCATCCGAGAAGAGGGCCCCAGAACAGCCCGTGCGAGGAGACGGCCTTCTCTGTCACCCCTAGCAATCTTTTCAGCTGCTCGGGCTTTGTTCTTTTTCAGCAATCATACACACAGCATTAAAGCTCTCGCGTATCCATATCGTTGAAGTATTGGTTTTGAGGAATGGCTTCCCGCTATTGTTTGGGGCCATCTACCTTTTGAGATTGAACGGGCTTCAAACTTAGGTGTTTCGAGACAATAAGGAGCTCGATCCAGTCTTTTTTAAAGATCAGTGGGGGGAAGATACAAATTACAGCACATATTGAGAAAAGTAACGTTGTTCTGCGTTACTATAATTTGATAGTTGTTCATTGAAAGATGCTTTCATTTCTGCTTAGCCCTTTCTTGCCCGACTCGCTATTTCATGGTACCAAATGTTGTAAATTTGACCCCCTTGTTAAAAAGATTGACCTTCCCTGTTTTAGATTTTTATTGATAAAGCCATTTAGAAGCTATTGTTTCTGTTTCAGTTTTTAAAGAAATCTTTTGCGAAAGTTTTGAAAGTAATAACACCTCTCGATAATAATACTAGCATAAGCCTTTCTATTTTCCGCAAAGCCACGAGTGCCTTGTAGACTATCACATTCCCTATTTTTGCCAACGAAAAATTTTCCCAAGATCTCCTATTTTTCTCATAGAAACAATTCCTTCAAAATGCGTCAAATCACTAAAATGTCGGCAGTATCTAGACATTTTATGTAAAATTTGACAAAAGATGCTTTTCGTGATTTATGGAACGAAAAGAATTTAAACATTATAGAATGATGTAAGGAAAGCTTTAAGTCACGTATATTTAAAAGTATATTTAAGTCACGTATGTTTAAAAGTCAGTACTGGCTCGAAAAAAGCGTAATTAAAAAGTAAATGCAAAATTAACTTGAAAAGACATACTGAAAGTTAGTGGAGTTGACTGTTGTTTCATAATAGGTTCTCAAATGGAAGAGTCAAGCAGAGAGCGAGAAAAATTCAGTTCCTTCTCTTCAAAAACGCTTGCAAAACCATTTCTAATTTTATTTTATATATACTGTATATATCACTGTTTTTGGTGTTGTAATTTTATTCTGGGTCATTGGCGTTTTAGTACGAATTTAAGTCAGTTTTGGTTTAAGTCTGGTGTAGTACGAATTTGCTGTAGAATTAAAGAAAAGGGAAGAGTGTAGAAATAACATTGGCATTTTATTGTAGATAATGCTATTCAAGATTTTAAAGTAGTATATTGAAATAATTATATTTATAAATGTAATGTCGTTGTAAAAAGTAAATAATTTTGGGTGGTACAAAATTTGAAAGGCTTTGAAAATGGCTTTGAAAGAAGCAAACATTTTCAAACACAGCCAATTCGATCTCTTTTGTGCAAGTTTGCTGAAGAGATAACTTTCAAACACGCCACAGAGCCGTGGAAGAAACCCTTTTATTTTTTTAGCTAGGGCGTATAACAAAGAAATTAGAATGAGTATCTTATGCGTGATACGTTAAGCAAAGTATTCAACTAGATAATAGAATTGTTTTAAAAAATACCTCTCGTGCATGTGAATCCGTTCACACGAAATCATTTCGTTAGAGCAATTTATGTAAGGGTTTGAATGTGTCATGAAAGCATAAAATGGCTTCCCTTTTTGTATTTTCTTTCCCAGCTTGCTTTCGAGTCAAATCATTTCCATACTAACATTGCCTCTATAGTTATTGCCCTAAACCTACATGTTCCATAAAGCTACATCTTAACCAATAAACGTGTCTGTTCCACATAAATCAAAAAAAAATATTTAAAATTTTATTTTTTTGCTAGGAAGACCTCTACATTATGAAGAGCATGACAAGCGCCCTTACCAACTTTGAACCCTGATGACGGTTCATATCTGTCATTATTCAAACTTTAGAAGGCGTAGAGCTTGATAGACACCGTTTTCTAACCATAACTCTTCATGAAATTAACCCCTCACTTGCACAGAACGTTATTTTTCTATATACTAACAAGTCATAGCCTTATTAATGGACGTTGTTACTGCCATTTACAGAGAAAGCAACGGAAAAGTTTTTGCAGAACGCAAGCTTGGCTTGTAATAGATTTGGACTACTCAATAATTTTCGAAAACGAGACATTTCCTTTTAAGCCATATGTACTGAAAACATGTGAACTTGCAGTGCAAGTAATGCAATATGTGGCTCCATTATGACTGTGGCTCTCTTATTATCACTACACCCTGGAGGTCATGTAGATATTGTTTTTGGTATATATGCCACACCGTCTAGTATTTTTAGAGAACCAAAAAGCACTTGTAGCTACTGGCAGTAACCCATTCTAACGTATTGCAATATTTCCTTTTGTGACTTAAAACTGTTGGTAGCATTTACAACAAATTCGAAACTTTCAAGGGCAATCCAGGGGCGGACTGGCTGGTCGGGCTATTCGGGCGATCGCCCGAAGGGCCGGTTGGTAAAAGTGCAAAAAAATAAATTAGCTTAAAAAGTGAATGCGAGGCAAAAAAGTATACCCACGCGTTAATCTGTTTGCCTTGAATTTTCAGAGACTTTGTGGGAAAGAATAAATATACACACTCCTTCAGGGAACATGTTATTGACATTTTGTTATATTTTCTCTTGACGGTATTTCCTTTTTGGCGACATATTTTAGTGTAACATCCCTGTTTCAATGCGATACATAAAGCCCCGGCAAAACGACTGGAAATTTGCACTGGTCACACACTAGACATTGCTCACTTGTTCAAAGTATGGACATCAAGAAAATATTGGTTATGGCAAAACGACTGAACATTGTCCAGTGAACTTTTTCCTTGTTGAAGAATGCGGGTGGAAAAACTGGCAACAGGGCATCTCTTTACCTTTGAAAATACACTTTTCATGACCCTAACCGTTTTATCGTATGAATTAGAGTGTATTATTGAAAAGTGGCTAGGACTGCTAGGTTCATCAAAATCACCGTCCTCGTGCTCTCTGACATCGCTTTCCTTATCGGAACTAAAGCTAATCTGATCAGAAGATTCATCGTTACTAATGAAATGCCTTTTTCTGCTATTGGTCGAATTGAATTTTCACGTTGTTTCCGTTTCGTTTGCGTTGTTGACTAGGAAAGTTTGTTGAAGATTTGAATATGGGAAATAAATTGACGCCAAACCCAAACCATTAATCGATTGCGCGTGCGCGAACTGGACAATGTTCAGTAGAGTGGCAAAACGACTGAACAATTTCTGTACAACATCAGTGAGCAAAAGAAATTTAGGCCCCGTTCACACGGGAACGATATCGTTCCGTTCCGTTCTTCTCCGTTCCGAAAAGCGGAACGCTCAGGGGTTGTGTTCACACGGGAACGCTTCAAACGACATCGTTCCGTTCCAAAAAGTGGAACGATAAAATAAGTGATACGAAAAGTGGAACGGTACGCAATCGTTCCGTTCCGTTCCCGTGTGAACGCGCAGAACTGGTCCAGAAAATGGAACGATAAGAGTTTTGCCCTGGGCGCATGCGTCTGTGTTGTTGTTGAGGGAAGGAAAAGGTGACAATAAGAAACTCAACGAAGAAAATGGAGGATTTCAAAAACACCATTGGCTGAATCTCGCCGTTAGTCCATTTAAAAGATTCAACACCATTCTGCAAACATTGGAATTCCTTCCTTTTAGGGTTGGCTTTAATTTTCTCACGAGCTTGCTTATTTTCGGGCGCTTTTGTATTCTCAATTTATTCAAATTGCTTAAAAAATTCAGAGATAGCTCAGAGATAAATCGAAATGATGAAATTTATCTCAATTATGGACATGCGCATTAAAAATCATTTGATTATTTTGGCGTGCAAATTGCAGAACGGAACGATTGCGTTCCCGTCTGAACATAAACAAAAATCGATACGCAATCGTTCCGTTACCGTATGAACAGTATACTTTTCCGTTCCAGAAACTGGAACAAAAATGGAACGGAACGATTGCGTTCCCGTGTGAACGGGGCCTTAATCCTGTCCACTGAACATTTTTGGCTGCCTTCAAAATCGACTGAACAACATTCAACATCGCTGAACAAGACTAGACAAGGTGGCAAAACGACGCAACATTTACGCTGGACATTTGTCCAGTCCATGTTCAGTGAAAATGTCAAGTCGTTTTGCTGGGGCTTTTGCTTGAAGCTGGTCATGTTTTTCCCTAAGCAAAAGCTTTTGCTAAATGTAATAAATTTAAAAGTCCAAAAATTAGAGTTCACTAAGCGATTTGCTCTGTGATGTGAAGTAATGAAGAGGACATACGTAGAACAAGGAAAGAGCAAGAAGACTTCAACCAAAGGTGGTGCACAGAAATTTCGTGAGGAAAAGCTGCGAGATTTAAAAAAGGATTCGGCTACGATACAAAGCTTTTTTTATCAAGCAAAAGCCACAAACGTCACAAAAAACAGCAGGGTCTTGCTCTTGCTCCTTTCAATAAACTCATACAAGTTATGGTAAATTTATTAGGCATATACTATCATAAGTCAAATGGCCCCCTGCCCAACAGGGGTATGGTGCTACACGATAAAATTTCAACAGGGGTGCCCATGTTTTCTTTTTGGGGTCAGAAATTGACAAATCGATATTTTGGGCTGCTGAAAATCATTGTGGTTTTCCGGAGGATTAGAAAATTATTTGTCACAAGTTGAGTGTGATAGAAGCTTTTCCACTTTAAATATATAAAGAACAGATTACGTGGTAATTTTTCGCAGCCAAACCTGGAGTTCTTAGAAAAACACCTGTTAGATGACATGTAGAACGATCACATTATCAACAAATAAGTTACTGTATTTGGAAAGAAAGTCAAACCAATGAGTTAAAATTTTTGCTTATTTAGTCAGCAAATGACTTATTCAACATGTTCTGTTAACCAGCATTCATCAATGCACAAAATTACTGAATTTAAAAACTTGTTTCCTTACAGACTAACATTTACTTGCATTTTCCGAGGAGTTTTTTATTTGCTATTTTTGTGGGCCGGTTTGATCAAAATTTGCCCGGGCGAAAAAAATTAGCCAGTCCGCCCCTGGGGCAATCGACAAAGATTTTCATGAACTTTTACAGATTTTCCTATTTCCTAATTTCCTAGTCGATTGAAGTATCACACGCTTAGTAACATTAGCATATGCGAGGTTATTCCCCAATTTGAAGGAAGGCTCTTTCCCCTTCTTTCACTGAGGCTCTGGCTACCAGAGTATACCTCTGCACGAATGTTCTTATATGTTCACTTTACTCTTTAAAGCAAAATTTTACGTAGACATTTCTCTGTCGAAATTTCCTTGCATAATAAATATGCATATTAACAAGGATGCACTAAATGCTGTAACCAGTATATTTCGAAGATATAACCCCTCGTTCGACATTTCTCCTCGTATTAGACGAATTACAAGTATGATTCTACCAAACAACTGGGCTGACACGTTTTTATTGTATTCTAGCAAAGGAGGAAATGATAAAATGATACCTTTTTCTATAACTTTCTTGTGTTGTAGATTAATTCTATTCAAATGACATAAGGCTTTTATAACAGCTTTGAGCAAAAAGCTATAGGTGTACGCATCAAGCAACACAAAGTTACACAAATACAGTACAAAAGGATAACAATGACAGTAATTCAGCTTTTAGAGAGAATACTTTATTTTATCAGTTCTATAGAATTTTACAACACAATCTTCTTACTAAAAACGGGTCATAACATTGACATAATTGACACATGTTTGACCTAAGTAAAAATTCACTAAGATAAAGAAACATCAAGTAATGTTTCGAAACTAAACATCGACCTAGGGGATCATCGATTTTGCAACACAATAGCAGAATTAAAAAGTTTTGGTAAGGGGAAACATATTTTATCAAATTGATATTTCTCAATTAATTAGCAGAATTTTATATCGTTATTTTATGCATTGTAAATTTTATGTCGATGAAGTCATTCCGGTAGTTTCCAACATCAGCCTTCGTCATTATGCCCTTGCTCGTTTCTCTTCAGTCTTTGAGAAAACTGTACTTTCATTTTTTAAATTTGAAATGTTGTGCATCTGACTTAAGCTCAAGTGAATTAGCTATATGTATTCTGCATTTGGTTAATAAAGCGAGGTTCCACCCAAATGCAGGCTAAACTTCTTGAGCGGTGATTTCTCTGCGTTGTAATGTAATGAAATGTAAGTTGGTAGGCCTAGAAGGGGAGTCAATTTATGTAAACATCTCGCCTGTTGAATTGTGTTGCCCCTTTTACTCGTGCAGATTTTCTTTAAAATATATGAAATTTGAAGGGATCTTTTAATCATAAATTGGCTCATTGAGAACTTACTGGCTTTCACCTGGACCCTATTGGGAATTTATTTCTGCCCTAAAGAACTTTCAAGATCCTGGAATTATCTAGAGTTGAGTATCTTTCTTTCTTAATGTTACACAAAGGCGTTGCTTGTGTCCCTTACTTTCTGACGTACCTTCTGCTACTTTCTAGGCATGCATGTCCATTTATCATAGCCAAACATTTAAGTGTTTTTGTTATTCATGTCCATTCTGACTCGCAATACGTTAACATTTGTATTTCTATGCATATCTTTAAAAATGAGCGCGCACGTTCGGTTAAGCGAACGCTATTGAACAATGAGATACGGCAGATTATTTCGCTGTTTATTGGGAAAAGCCACAAAGAGAGTCTGCAAATGCTTTACCCTGGGTACCAGAGCCACAAAAAAGCTTCTCCTCCTCCCTCTTCTCTCTTCTTCGCCTCCGCAGCTCTCATTATTTTTTGCTGCCGTTAAATTGTTGTGACTCTGGTGCCTAGGGTACAGATGCTTACGCTTCAAAAATATTTCAATCGTCAATGGAAATGCTGTTTACAACAACGCTTTCAACACTGTTAAGCTCTATTGTCATCTCTGATGAATAGCATATTTTACTCCACCCAAATTGAGGTGCGAATGATAGATAATAGAGTACTAAAGTGTGACGTCATCAAAAATTTATTTCTTGAATTTCTCAATTTTGACCACATAATGTGAAAAAGCGGCATAAAATACCTCTCAATTTGCATTATCAGCAAGATATTTTTAAACTTGGGCGGGATATGACCAACGAAAGCTTTCAAGTTTGCTAACGGATTACTGTTATTCTGGCCTGGTCCATAAAGTTATGAACCAAGACCAAATTCTAGAGGTTTGATGGGGCAAGATACAGTGCTCATGTGGCCATATCTCAGCCAATTTGTGACAAAATCAACTGATTTTGCGTGTTAAGAGGTATTTCGTGATGCTCTCAGTTTATGGGATCAAAGTTCAAAAATTCGAAGAATAGATTTTTGTGACATCACTTCGGGACTCTATAAAACTCTGTTTATACGTCATTGATTGCATAATTTGTTCAATTTTTTATCCTTGCCAGTTGCCACTCCTACTTAACTTCGTTTACAAATACCAAGCTTCTGATGAGAAAACGACTGTTGATTTTTAAATTTTATAGAGGCTATCAAATTACTCATTTTATTTGCCCTAATTGTAATTTTGTAGCCTTTTTTATAAATTTTCAAAGGTGTCAGCCAATTAACAAAGGAAAGAAACGATCTTGAAGTTTTCTCTTCGAAAGATTCAAGTCAGTTCCAAAACGTGATAAATTTGTGTTGCTATGTCCACAAGAAGAAATAATTTATCTTGAAAGTAGGTATGTGGTCTTTTGTTTGCAAAGAAAATAATGCACCTCTAGAGACTCAAGTCACATTAACGTTTAGCAAAACTGATTGCAAAGACACTTTCAAAGGTGATAACGGATGTCTTTCATCTTTCCTGTCAAGCAATGTGATTGTTCTTCTTTTCAGTCAAGTTCCCCAGAGGGACGATCCGCACACTTGCAATGGTTGCAGTTTTTTATGCTCACAGATCGCTAAGAGCATTCAATCGCAACTTTGATGAAGTCAGGCACGAAAATGATGTCAACTATTAGAGAGCTTGTCTCTTTGCAACTGTCATAATATTTTTACTACTGGTTAATCATGGAAGGTAACACAACTTGTGAGTTTCGATCTTTGTTGGATGATCCTAAAAATGCGACTATAATGGGCATTGCAGGCTCTGTAATCGCACCGATAGCAGTAATATGTAATATGATAACACTTATTGCTATAATCAAGTTCCACAGGCTGGAGAAAAAATCGCTACTTAGTTTTGCAAACATATCAGCCTGTGCACTATTAGCAGGGCTGACACAACCAGTACATTCTTTATTGCTATTAGGAGAATTTCGTTCATTAAGAACATGGTGCAAAGTTGCAACTGCCTACGAGATAATTGAAGATACACTGCTTTTTTGCTTGTTTTTGACAGTCTGTTTTGTCGCCTTCGAGCGTTACATATCGATTTTCCATCCATTCAAGCAAGATCAACTTTTAAGAGGAGGCATAAATATTGCTTTTATCGTAGCGATATGGATTATATCAATATCGAATGCGTTAATATTATTCTTTTGGCATCAAGCTGAATTCATTATGTCATTTTTCGATTTGATTCTCACATTGATTGGCACTCTATGGATATCCGTCGTTTATTTCAAAGTTATACTTCTTGTCCGCTCGATAAGAAGAAGAGTGGCAGACAGCGAACGCAGATTCAGTACACAGTCACTACCGAGACGACTTCGAGAGCATTCCAAGCGCACGTGGCCGACTGTGATCGTGATATTCTTCCTTATTGTGTTTTTCCTTGTACATAATGTCGTACACATACTCAAAAGTCTATCGCTTAGACGTAATGAAAGCCCAACTTACAAATTCTATTCAAAGATGCTTGCCTGGGTATGGCTCTTATTCTTGCTGGTCTCCACAATAACGCCAGTGACCCTGTGGCTCAGTAGCAGTCGAATACGTTGGTTCCTGCGCAGGTTCTGCATGGGGTGTTTCTGCCAGCAGGATGAGCTGACATCAACTTATGAAACAAGGGATTCAAAACTTAGCAAATTCATTGGACTACTTCTGTTAGCGCAAAGGATTCGCTCAGAGCAAAACAATAATAATCTACAAGTAAGAAACCCTGCAATAATTTACAACTCGGGGATGGCAGTATCGAAACCTGATGGTGAAGCTGATCTGAGCTGAGGCGGAACCAGATACCCAGAATCAGAAAATTTCAACACTTCCGAAAGTTCTACGAAAATTTTCTCGCTGGAGAATCAATTATTTGCAATATTTTCTGAAATAAGGCATTCGAGTGATAACCATCGTGATTAACGTTCTTAGAAATGCCCCTTCTGGCGTTTAACGATTTCCCAAACGTTTAGAAAAAACTAAAACCAAACGACTCGTTTCACTTTAGTTTCAATCAAAGGACACATTTCCACATTAAGTGGTCAGGGGGCTAAATACTTTTGGCAGTTGCTAGGAGGCTTAGTCCTCTTCCACCTTTATCTTTGGTCGTATAGCTGTTTTCCTCGGTTTTTTATTCCAAGTTAAGACGATGCTCTTTTTTAAAAGAGTTAAAAGAGTCCGAGGAAATTTGATTTTACTGCCCTGTGTATAAGGCTTTTTGGCATACCTTACTGAAGAATGGAGATGTTCCACCTACCAAATTGCACTTTGCAAATAACCAACGTTTCTCTTGACTAGCCCGTAGAGTTGTTAGTGTAAGTTGCTTAACCGACCCTCCCGAGTCAGTAAATTTGAACCAAATCTGTTGTCTTTTTCTCACTCAATTTCAAAACACTTTTGTAAAGTCTCAGACAATCTAATACTCTGTCACTCGGATATTAACAAAACTTCTGTGTCATTAACAAGACAAGAAACAAAAACAATACAACAACACAAAAGTATGACGATTAATTGTCATCGAACGTTTGATTTGAAACAAGGTAAACATTTAGAAAATCAGTTTCCTCGCTAATGTACTTTTTGTTGTTGTAGTAAACAGCTTTTTCAACGAGACTCCAAATTGCTCAAATTACCTGACTCGTTACGGTTCCTAATTAACTGGTTGTTTATCAAAAAGGATTTAACACGGCTTTGTGTGTCTTGAATCTTTCTTTTCTAAAAACAAACATATGCATGGTTCTCATCTCATTTTCAAAATACACAAATATATGTACGTTTTTCACTCTATGCCAGAAAGAAATGTCTAAGTACACAAATCTCCCTCAAAATCAATCTATCAAAAGTACCAGACGTGCTAGAGCAGACGTGCCATTTTCAGTAATAGAAATCCAGCACTTTCTTTTTGTGAGTTGATCGATGTATCTTTTATAGTTTTTGCAAGCAAATGTATAGAAATTTGAGCGGTTTCGTATTTGGTTATGGATTAGCAAGTAATGACAAGTATGAATTAGTAATTTGGTCGTGTCTCTATGACTCTTAATCTGAGGATTAGATAGAAAATTGGACATACAGCATGGCAAAACGCAATTAATATTAACATCTTAAATGTAAAGAGATCAGATGTGTTTAAACACACACTTCAACATCCTTATTGTTTGTAAGGAAATTATTCAGTAACCACGCCGATAACTATATTTGCGAAATCGTATATTAAAGCCACGAGGTTTTGAATTTTGATCACATAACACGGAAAAGCATGTTTTGATTTTTCTTTGGTTGATAGTTTGCCAGTTTTCAAAATAAATAGCTTTGTATGGAAGCTTCATGCAGTTAAACATCATTCTTTCTACTATAGGGAGCCAGCTTAATTTTAGGACGTGGAGACATATGTTGATTTGTGCCTTTGCCAAGGGCGTGATCGCTAAATTCAATCTTTGATAATATCAAATAGTCTACAGGTTGCTTTCTTACCAAATGCTTTCCGAAGCATTCTGATATGATTTCTTGTAAGTGGTTTGACCAGTCTAAGTTTGTATCTAAGTAGATGCCAAGTAGACCTGCGTTACTTTCTAAGTCAATCTAAGTCAAGAAGTTTTCCACCAAGTGACAATAAAAGCTGGTATGTTGCTCAGATGATGTCGATTATACAGTTGTTTAGAAGAACAGATGAAATACTTGTAGCGTCATCTGCATATTAGATGAATTTAGATGGTAGGCATTCTTTAAGATCATTATCATAGAGGTTGAACAACAGTGGGCCTAAAATGGAACCCCGTGGAACAACAAAATATGTTGTCAAAATATGGAAGTAGATTTCCTTGAGTTAAGTTGCACCTACTGTTTGCGGCCACTGAAATATCATAGTGTCCAGTGTAGAAATTCTCTTGAGAAACTGTATTTGTGCAGCGTTTAGATGAGGGCATCATGCAAGATAGGATCGAATGCTTTGGAGAAGTCAACTAGTACGGTTATCGATAGTTAACTTGCAATCGTTACCTTTTTAATATCATCTCACAGCTTCTGCAAAGTCGTACCAGTCGAGAAACCCTTCCTAAAAACTGTGACTGTATCTTTGTACAATTTTTGTTGGTTTATGAATTCGATGAGCTGTTTGCAAACAGTTCTGATGAAATAAATTAGAATCATTTCGAGGTTCTGGTAAACTGTTTATGAACTGGGTAGTTTCAGTAATTGGAATTGCCTTCTTTTTAAGTGTGATGACACTGGCAATAGTTGCAAAATATTTGTTAAGCTCAGCAGGATTTAAATCAACGCATTTTGCTGGTGGATGCAAAACGCCATGGATTATTTTCCATAACTCTTTCGGGTTTTTTTTAAAAGAGTCGTGCAAACTTTTTGATTGCACGTTTGGTTTCTTTAGACTTGTCCCATAAAGATGAAAATTGTGACTAATGGGCTTCAAAGCGGCTTATGTTTTGCGAATTTTCTAATTTTTAATCGCAGGATCCTTCATCCAAGATGCATTTGGGCTTGTAACCTTTATTCTCCTGATTGGGACATGGTAATTTTGTAAAAAAAATTGGTAATTTTGACAGTTTGTATTTGATGTCCCCCGTTATCAGTATGGCATCGTCCCAGGTAGTTTTTATATATCAAATCGTGTCCTCAAATTTTTCAAGCCAGTCATTGAATGGGAGCAGCTTTCTAAACGATAAATGATACCTGCCGCACCTAGGTCGTTTGGTTGTCATTTGGGCGCTGTCTGCAACTAAGCTAAGCAAAGGATCCCAACTTGTGTAGACACAAAGAGTTCGTTTTCTCTCGTGGACATCTAGTTGAGAGGTAAGCTGCTGCTTATTGGTCAGAAATAAAGGCCAGTTTCCACTTGATTCGCACTGGTCGCGTGACGGAGCGAACGCACTTCTGAGCATGCGCAAGACTCAACTTTCTCTTTCGCGATGAATGCCCGACCATTGGCCGAGTAGTTCAACTTAATTGAACTACTGAGTGACTGGTCACGTTCGCCGATTAGCTGAATTGTCGATTCTGGCTCTCAAACCGGCTCTTAAAAAAACAATCCACCGCACCGTTCGTCCTCTTATGTTACATTCGATCCGCATCAGAACATTATCCGGCATTTAAAATCTGAGGTTGTCGGACGAAAATTACTTCAGTATTTGTTCGCTTTTCCGTGCTATCTTCAAATTATTTCTCTGTATAATTTCATACCTCCAAAAAATGATCGTGGAAAGTTTCCTACCCCTGTTAAAGGTCTTTTACCATGAAGAACTGTTTTTAAAAATAACTGTTCTTTAAGGGACACTGCCTTTAAGAGATTCATTCTTTAAACGTGTCCTAAAATAAGATTTACATGTCCCTCTATTTTAAGCCCCCCCCCCTCATCAAGCAAAAAATTAAAATAAGCCCCCTGTCTATTAAGCCCTTTCCCCTCTTTAGCCACTAATGTAAAACAAAGAAAACATGCGCGTTGCGTGGGTCTCTTGACGGATGTGATGATGATGATGACGTCAAGAAGATACTGATGTTGATCCTTTTGAAGGAGTCCCAGAGGACAGAATTTGTTTAGAAGATATCCCAGGGTTATCGAATAAACTTTCAAAGCTGCTAGCAAAGTTTTTTGAGTACATTTTTATGGTTCTAAAAGCGTGGTTCTGAAAACATGTACATTAATTTTCACAAAAAATCGTTAATGATTCCAGACAATCCTGAAACATTCTTGTTTCAGTTTGCCAACTAACGGTTGAAATAGAAACGTGCTGAGGAGCGAAGAGTATAAAATCGAAATAAAAATTAAACAATCAAATATTTGATCAACTTTCATCGATAACTTATTCATGCTGACCACCAAGTTTGCAAGGTAAGCATTAAAAAAATTCCGAGTTTGCCAAGAAAAGACCGATCTATGACTTTTGCACCCCCACGCCCCCGTAGCTGATTCCAAAGCACCTTTTAAGAAATGCTTATCATTGCATGCCAGAATGAGGCCCTGTTCACACGATACCGGTTTTATTTCAAATCGGATTCACTGACCCAATCCGGTACGAATATCAAGCTCTGTTCAAACGATACCGGATTCATTTCGTATCGGATTCACTCCTGTTCACACGATGACAGTACGCTTCAACACTGCTCCAAAAATCTATTGTCTTTAAGCAGTTGCATAGCACATCAGTGTCTAGGAAATAGACAGTGGCGAAGCCAAAGGTCAAATTTCACAAATTTCCAAAGATAACAATTTTTAAAATAAGGAAAATTGATTCACTTTATGAAATCATTATATGCCTGATTCAAAGGAATTTCTTGTCTTATTCTACACTTATACTTCGTGGCTGTGCCCCTTTTCAATTGTGAGACACAGGGTGTCTGGAATGGAATTTCGAGTATCCTGTTCGTAAGTGATATCGTCGAAAATTCAGCCCTGTGGCCAGTTCTGCCCAATACTCGTAGGCAGGACTAAACCCTATGCTTGGTCCTGCCCAACGATACGCCTCGGCAAACGCCTCGTAGCCCTGTTTTTGGTCCTGCCTCACATTAGAAGAAAACAATGGCGCTCCTGCCCTTAAGAAATGGCAGGACCTCAGGTCCTGCTCATCCATGAAGGCAGGACCTAGACTTTTGGAGCCTTATGTTTTGGTATAATTTGTTGATTTTCTGCGCCGTGTCTGGTCACAAACACTGATCAATTGTCAGAAAGAATATTCACTCAGGCCATAGTCAGGCTTTCCTTAGGAAAAATAACTATTTTGATATCATCGATCAAACTAACTGTAACGAAGACATCATGATTCTGCTGGTGAAGAAGTTTTTGCTGCTTCGGGCGGGGAAGGCCTAGACTTTCGTCACTTGATTTATACAAGAATCGATCGTTTCAATACGAGTGGTATTATGGAAATCAAATTGTGTAGAGTCGTTCTGTTGGTCCTATTCAGACCTGTCAAGTTTCAGATATGAAAATGAGTGAGATTTTTTAAAGGAAGGGAAAATGTTTGGTCCAGAACAAATCATGACTGCCACACAACTAGAAGTAGGGTCCAGGGACGTAGAAACGTTTCTTTTACCACGCCCTCTAGTTCTTCGGAAACGCCTTTTTTGAGCAGCGACCGCACAGAACCAGGTGGGGGCTTGAGGGGGCTTTGTTTTTGCCATTCTATTCGGTTTTTATTGAGAAAGAATTTATAACAGAAAAAATCATGAAATAATTTAATCTGGTGAACTGCACTGCGCATATAATTGCAAAAGTGCACAGCACTGTGGACCAGAAATGCAGAGGAAGAAATGCAGGCAAACAAGCAAGCGGAGGAGCAAAATATGTGTGGTAGGTCTGCCTATTTACTGTTCAAGTCAGGAATATCACAGAAGACATCGCGAGAAACCTGACATTCATATAGCTTTCTCTCAGACTGCAGAGAGCAAAGAAAGTCATATTCACAGACCTAATTGTAAACAGTAGAAATAGTTTGCGGCCTCCGCCGAGAGAGAATCTTCGTTTTTTTGTACCAGGATAGTCGAGATGGAGGGGAGATGGCGTGTGCATGACAGAAAAAAAGAGCTTGCTTAAATTTAATTTCAGCAGTTCGTCATCCTGCCTTAACAGGAACTACAATACAATTCAGAGGTCCCGATGAAAAGAACGCCTGCTTAAACAATGGTAATTACTGGGAGCTTTTGTACTCGGTGACTCAGATTGTATTGTACTGGCAAAATGTCAATCTCTGATATTCAAAACAAATTAATTCAAGACCCTATCTACCCATGCATCAGACCTATCCATATTGTGACAAAATTTTTTAACTTTTTTAAATAATTTGCATCAATTATGTTTCCCGTATGTATTACAACTGTATATGCCTATTTGTGCAAGCAATTTCTTTTTTAGTTAATGATTTCAAAAATTTCAATCAATGAAAACATTTTCAAATATTAATTATTTTAGAAATAATTTTTATGGTGCTCTTTTGACTTCTTCAATGTAAGGCAGGAGGAACTTGAAAGGATCCGAACCCTTGTCCCCTTTTTCCAAAATGTGGATATGAAAAATGTTTCACTGCAATCTTGATTTCAATATATTCAGAAGGGCGTTTCCCCCTCTTCCGATGGTCTTTAGGGCTTGGCTTCACACAATTTTTTGGGGGGCATAGCCCCCAGACCCCCTTCGGGGCAGGACCAAATGTTCTTGGCTAGCTTAGCCACTGGAAATAGGGTGTTAGGAAATAGTTCTCCTCTTCCGCACTCTCCCGCACTCTCCCGCAACCCCCTATTTCCTTGAAGCCCCATTTGCTACACTTGACGCTCTGGAATCCAGGGTAAATCATCGCAAGGAGCATATTCATTGTTTTCCACTGTAATTTAGAGTATGCCAAACTGTTTTTAAAAACCCCAAAAACGAAGCTGCTTTTTCGAAACAGAGGTTCCGGAGCGAAACCGTATCGGATTCATGCCTTCCACGAGCTCAAAAGCGATCCGATATGATTCCATTCCACATTCACAGCGGAATGGTTTGACTCCGCAAAAACGATACGGAGCGTATCGGATTCAAGCGTCACCGTGTGAGCAAAAGGCCTATCCGGTATGAAAAGCGATCCGATACGAAATGAATCCGGTATCGTGTGAACAGGGCCTGAAATGTTCAAATTCCATCAACTCTCTCCAATTCATTCTACTAGAAGTACCGCAAGGATCTGTCGATGGTTCTGTATTATTTAACATAATGCGCATTATCTTTTGATTTACTAACACACCGCGGTGCGCAATAAGGCAGATGACACCATATACACAATTTTTTTTCAGTAATTCGCTTATTAAAGCACTTTGAATGAATATCTTGAAACAATCAAGCATCTTAACCGCTCATTCATGCGAGATATTTTTGAGATCATCCATCTATTTTGAGATTCATGCGAGATATTTTTGAGATCATCCATCTATTTTGAGATTCATGCGAGATATCGTAATCCAGACAATTTAGCATTATGGACCAAGTCAAACAGCATTTGTTTCCAGTAGACTAATGCAGAATGCCCATAGTTTAGAATGCATTACCAAACGACTTCAAAACAGTCCTTAACTTCGATATTTTCAGACACTTGAGAAAATAGCGGGACGGTCGAAATTGTAAATGCCATGCCTGCCAAAAAATAATGAGGCCAACCCAGTTGCACGCTTGATATCAGCGCACTCTATAAAAGGCAGAACGACAGTGACACATCTTTTTGAGCAATAAAATCTTGATCAACAGCTCCCAGAACACCATCTTCTTGATCTTCAGCTATAAACATCGTCGTTTTGGTATATTACACCAGGTTGCTTTCTATTTCCATTACAAGGGGCTTCTGTTCTAACATGTTCCTTACCGTTCCATTTTTGTTGTTCCTTACCGTTCTACCTGACAGTGCGCTGCCTCACTGCCGCACAATTTGCTGCCGCCCTTTCTCTCATTTCACTTTCATTTTTAGCCTTCTTCATATTTTCAGCAATTAATTGAAAATTTGAATTGATATAAAGATGCTTTACTTAAAAAATCATCAAGCTAGAGTTAGATTGTTGAAAGTTACATCAAAGGTAATTAAAAAGTGCTGACGGACATATGAAAATAACTCTAAAGAGCTTTTGAGTGGTGAAGAATTTATATCTAATAAAACAGAACATTAAAGTTAAAGGTTAACACCATAATAAATATGGTAGAATGTCAATATTCCACGAATGGTATTTTATTTTGAGAAAGTTTAATAATAATCAAATGTGATATTTATTCAAAGAACTGAAAGATGAAACAAAATGCAAAAGGTTAGGGCCAATATATGTACTATTGTAGCAAATATGAAACACCGCAATACGCCGAGAATAAACAACAATGAAAAAACACGTAAATCAGAGCAAAAATGCCGGGGCGAAATATTAGCCTTTACTGATTTACGTGTTTTTATTGTTGTTTATTCTCGGCGTATTGCGGTGTTTCATATTTGCTACATTTTTATCGACTTTTCGCCGCAAGAACTCCTTCGAGCCCGTCGAGCAGCCTGCTACAGTGGCCTTTTCTTCATTCACACATATGTACTATTGCCGGCCCGTTTTTCTACTAATATTCTGCATAAAGCTCCTTGTTGGTGGGCATTGGAATCTCTGAGACCTTTCTCTGGTTCCGTACCGGAAACCAAGACTTTCTGTTGTTATCAAGCGGCACAAATTTTCTTGCAGCAATAATTTTCACGCAATTACGCCATGACTAACGCCAATTCACAGGTCACACGCGAATGTCTATTCACGGATAATAAAAACTTTTTTTCATGAATTCGCGCATCGAAAAAACGCTGATCATGCAATCACACCGAAATACCTGGTACCCCCCTCTAGAAGGTTATGTATAAGGCAAATAAATTTAGAAGCAAAAATAGACATACATTGAACAGTTTAATGGGTAATTTTTTTATTAAAACTTTGCTATACAACCACAAAAGTGAAATATTTTACATGACATTGGCTTTCATACATAGATAATTGCATGCAAAGTTAGCTTAAAGCTGGCAACTCTATCGGCTCTGAATGCTTTTTTTCACTGCTTCCCGGTTCATCGACTTTATTCTGTGTTATAAATGTACTGGAAAACCCGTCAGTAACGGTATTTCCTTTGGAATCTAGCTTCAGAACGTCTGGTTTGGTGGGTCCCTCGATGGCAAACCGCTCTGAGACTTGCTGCTTCCGCCTACAAAAGAATTCGGGCGCATGTCTTTTTAATAATTTAGAGAGAAAGAGAGAATTTAGATATCAAAAAATTCATTGGTACGGGTCATTTTTGGAATATGGTTAACTACTAATTAACTCTCGAGCTAAATGCTGTTTGATAATTTATTTTCATTAAAATATTGATTGATTTCATCATAGGATTATCGTTTAAAAAAATGGTAAACAAACGAATCAATTGTTAAAAAATGTTCTGAAATGGAGAAAGTTGTCAATTTAGCAAAAGTTACCAAAAGCTAACTTATGGCGAAAGAGGGAAAAGATACCGAAAAGAATTAGCAAGTTTGAAGATAGCACGTAATAGCGGAAACGAGGGGCAATTCACTCTTGCAAATAGCGTACGAGATTTTTCCTAAAACAAAAGGATTTCCGAGGATTTTCAGATAAAATAATAGGATTTTCACAAAAGGTGTACGGGATTTTTTTGGAGTGATTTGCCCCTCGAGCGGAAATATAGCACACTGAAGCACTTTTCGTCCGATAAACGTCGGATAATGACTGAAAATAAGTAGAAAATTTAAACCCAGGTGTGTATCGAAAGAAACGTGAGAGGAAAAAAGACCCGTTAAATTGGCTCTTTTGATTTTTACCAATCATCGACCGCTAACCTCTCACCTAGTTTTAGCACACTGTGGTGAGGGGCAAATCACTCCAAGAAGATCTCGTACACCTTTTGTGAAATCCTATTGTACTAAAGTATGATTTGTTTCCGCTATCTTTAAATTATTCTTTAAATTCTGCTTTCAATTTATCACTTTATTCTGTCGTACCAAAAACTTATTTAGGACACCAAATCTTACTACATTAAAATCTGTGAACGATGGATGATATTAAGAAGAACTTGGTTGTGTGCCAACGCGGATCCGCAAAAAGCATATAGCAGAAACAACTGATAAATTTGAGTATTCCTTACCAGCTAATAGTTTACTAGAATTCAGTTGAAACAACAAGGGTGTTATAACCTGTTTGCTTTCTAGCCGAGAAAAGATCTCACGCGAAATTGGCCTAAAAATTTTTCTTACCCCCCAGCTAGAAAATATGAAATATCTGTTGACTGACAAGTAACTAATATGTTATTCAGAACATTTGATTTATTGCATACCTTTCATTTTGAAGGCCATTTATCTTAGCAAATAACATTCGGAGAACCCTCTCTCTCTGCTCCCAAGTAAGCTCCTTTATGTCAACTTTGCCTTCGATTCCGATCCATTTCTCAGCCTCTTTCATATCGTCAAAAACACTATTTGTACTGGCGCCCAGAGGCAAAAATGTTCTGACTTTCGGATAGTCGGCCTCTCCAGCATGAGCTGCAAGCATTTTGCTTCGATACATGATCTGGGCTTCTTTCTTGTACTGATTTCTACAAAGAGAAGAAAGGATGGCTACGTTGAAAGATATTATTATCGAGCAGCAGCAGAAAACTAGTTGAGAAAGCAGCTTATTCAAATAGAGGGGGGACTTTCCCGGCAATTGAGAGATGCTTCAGAGTCCATGTGGCTTTAACACTGTTTCGGTTGACGAAAAAACAGCATTCAGCAACAATAATGCTTTAAATAAAACTTTTAAAACTATACTTCTAATTACAAAAATTTCCATTACCTCAAGGTATAAGCACAAATGATATATACCAGAATAGTGCAATTGAACTTTACAGCTTACTATAATCTTGAAGAAATAATCCTAGTATACTGTTCGTTTCTTCCACACGTAAAGCTGATTGAAGTCCAACCAAAAATTGCCTGCCTTACGTATATGCATAACTGGCTGCGCTAATCAGGCAATGGCGATATTGCGCACTAGTCAAATTAAACATGATCTTTATTCGATTCAAATAAACAAAATTAAATTGTTGTGTGGTTGGGAAATACCTGGGCAGTGAAGTATGCAGCATGCACGAAAACAGAAGCCAAGCTGAAAAATTATACCCTATTTGCGGCATATATTGATTGATTAATACTTATGCAGCAACTAAAATACCTGTTTTTGACGATCTCATTTTTTACATGTTCCAACGAATCCAAAAAGAACTGCTCTATTTCGCATCTCTACAAAAACAAACAAGGATTGGCTGTAAAAACGCTGATAAAAACATTGTTACACCATGAGCCAAAAGATATACCTAACAAAACTATCAAAAACTTCAGTGTTATTCATCTACCGGAGAAATTCGATACTTCACGAACATTCTAGAACAGTAAATACTTCAAGCAACAATGGATCTCGTATTACTCTTGCTTTGATTTAAATGTAGACGTCATAATCCATAATTTCGATTAGTATCCTCTTGTTTTGGAACTAATATATATTACGCCGACACTTAGGCCTCTTTTACTGGAATGTTTCATCGTTGCCTCGTATTCATTATGCTTACCTCATACTAATTTTAGTTAAATCTAGAATCTAGAAGTTGGTGAGCGAAAACTAGCTTGAAACCGTACTAAAACATGATAGAAATGTAAGAGCAACGGCTTATTCGCCTCGTCAAGGCCTGCTCTTGTCAATGGTGGTCTTGTTTTGGACAACAGAACCCGTTCAACCGAGAATCGGGATGCGAAAAGGGAGGTAAACCGAGGGGTTTGGTTAGGCTATCTTAGTTCTCTTATTTTATCTTGTTGTGAGTTATTGTCGTGGAGAACTTTATCAAAGGTCGAAAGAACACAGCCCCTAGCGATACTATCGCATATGCATCTTTACTTAAATGAACAGTATTCATAAATGTAATCTATAATTGGGCAGCACCCTTGTAGACATGATTTCCTCGACCTCGTTTGTTTCATTGATACAAAAATACAGGAATCAAGCCAATAAAGACAGCCCACTTTCTATAAATAATGTAAATCACAGACAACAGAGTTTAAAGTTGTCGTTGGCTGTGCGTTTTTTAATAGAATTGTGGTCTTTCATTGTACTTGAATCTCTTTTCATATCTCATATGTAAGAATAAAGCTATTAATCGAAAATTCCTGGAACGTGTTATCTTAAATCGTGGAATGTGTTATCTTAAAGAGTCATTGCTAACAATGGGCCTTTGAGAGCGTGGCGACGGTGTGGCTCATTGTTAGCAATGAATCTTTAAGCCAATTGAAAAGCGAAAGCTGTGGATTCGATAACCAGCCACCTTAACTAAGAATTTTGCTGAGCAAATGTTTTTTATTCACCATTCATTGAAGCTTGTTGCTGCCTTCAAGTAAGACAATGAGGTTATCTATCTACATGATAACTTAAAACATTCAGGCAGTTAAACATTAATATTCAAACAGTGCTGGTCAATCCTCAAGAATTTTGAAAATCGTTGAATGAAATTTAAAAATTTACGGAAATTTTGGTTTCAATCGCTATTTACTATATAAAAGAACCAATTGTCGGGAATCAATATTCCAAAAAAGTCATTTTTGTCATTTTTGCGGATATCAAGGCTGATCAAATTCCATTGAAGTTGTCAACGATTAATGAATATATGAGGTGACATGAAATGGACGATTCAGATTCATAATCAAAAGCGTGTCTGAATTAGGAAAATTGTGAATCTGTTGCTTGCTAGACAACAAAACCTTAACAGACATTGCCACAGAGGAAAGTCTTTTATGAAAAAATGGTCAAACCTGATCTAAGATATTTTTCGCAAGTTTTTTCACTCGGTTCATTTCTTTTGTCTTCAGTTCAACGGTTCTTTGAAGCCTCGCAACTTCCATTCTACAAGAAAAAAGTTGATGCTATAATGATATTTTATACATTAAAATAAGAAAATTTTTGCTAGAGAGCCGCACTCAAGCCTAGATCTTTCCTTCAACAATACGTGACATGACATTGCATCATCATGAAATCATCATAACACATCTCTTGTCAGCAAATTTATTTTTAGAAGCTCAAATTGTATATAAGTACGATAATTTATTAGTTGAGTTAGTTAAGATCTACAAAAAGGCGTCGCAACACCGACCGTCCTTCGTCTCTGTTCTCTACACGTTAAATAAAATCAACGATGGCAAGGACAGTCCATGGAAGTCGAGATACGTAGTTTAATTTAGGAAATCACATCGCTCCTAAAAATTTCGCGAATACAGAACTATTGCCCAAATGCGTAAATCACGACATATAGCAACGATCGGGTTGAAAGCCGCGTTTTCATTGCAGCAAAGAATTTAGATATCTTTTTTCATTTCATTATTTATTTCTTTAAAGTAGGCCTTTAAGAAAAAGCTGAATTATAGCTATTTGATGCCAACTAAAATAAAAATTATCATTCATTATTATGTTTTCTAATAAAATTTACATCTGATAAAAATGACATTTAGCTAGAGATACATTCCTTTCGATCTGCAGAACGGCTAGAGCCGTCAGCCGTTAAAATTCAGTTTCGCTCTCTCAGCAGAACAAATTTTGAGCAGATAGCTGTTGATCTAACTACTAAATGGCTGTAGTATGTCCCGACCTATTACTTTGATACCTCTGCTGAAAGTAGGTACAATACCCACAATAGAAGGAAACTTTGCAATAGGTGACAACATGATACGCAGAAAATAATGGGATGTAAACCCAATCTGAAAATTGCTACCTATTTTTAGACTGGGGTACACTGCCCAGACCTTAATAGACGGTATTATCGTATTTCAGTCGTACTTTGATGAAGCAGTATGAAACGCTGCAAAAACGGACAGTTTGATGCGCTAAAAAGATTAGATATGAACCCTGGCTTTAAAATGCCTCCTTCGGCTATTTCAACTGTAATTTCAACAGCGACCTTCATTTTGCTTAGTGTACTAAACGCCAACTGTTTCCGTGTTTGCAAACTTTGTGACGTCACGGAAATGCGCGCTTTGTCACAGTCGAAAACGTGAAAATGGGATATTCAACCTAAATTTCTGGCCGGTTCCGTAAGAAATTAATCACCTCAACATATATAATTGAAATCAGCAAATTTTGCTTATAAAAAGTGTGCCTTTATCTAAACTTGTCAAATTTCATTTCATAGGCACTTTAAGTCAAAGATTCACGGAAAAAATCCTCAAAATGACAAGGTGTTGATCAAATTCAGGTTTGGGTTTAGCGAACATACTTGCTTTGCTCCAAGTTCTTCGATGAATCTTGCACAATGATTCCTCGTTCTTCTTCAAACTCTCTCACCATGTGACTAAGTGCCTTCTCAAGACCTGCCACTTTTTCTGTTAGCTGGAGGTGAATATAAGTAAATAATTATAAACGTGTAGATAGATACAAGGTCGATCAAAAGGTCTTTCGAAGAAATGCAATAGGTTGAGACCACACGAGATCATATTTTCGTCATTATTACTCCAATAATGTTCTTGTTTACATACAAGAAAAATTTAAGAACTTCGCGAATTAAGCATTGGAGCAATTATATCTAAGATGTTTTGTGAAAGAGTTGAAGAAATAAAGGTTTCTCACTCAATTAAGTTCATAAAGACAAATTATCTTCCCTCGATAATCTTTATAGATATAAAAAAATAAATGACAAATTCTTTACTGAATATTAACTAGGCCTTAACATACCTCTTTGTTCCGTTTTTGTAACTGTTTGGTTTGCACAACTTTCTCTTGTACTACGAGACTATTTAACTCCTTCACAAAAAGAAAACAGAAAAATAGCATTAAATTTCACGAATATACTTTGTAGCTTAGCTGCATTATGTGTTATGTGGTTCAAACAAGAGCAGCATAAATTCAAAGACATTAAATCGCTTGCCTAGTATGCTTTATACAATAGACCAGGCTCTTACTGAAAAATTCTCATATAGTTTTTCTAGACCAGTTTTTTATTAGGAATCCGAACTCTTTTGGCAAAAAGACAAATTTCTGAAAGACTCTGAGAACAAGGGTAAATTATGCCTGAATTTGGTAATAATTATGTTACAGGCAATAAAAAATACATTGATTACAACTTGTTTGAAGTACTAAGAATCTCACAAAAATATGTTCCGTCTTGAAAAGTGTACAAAACAGCAGATTTGCTATGCCATGACGTATACTACCCGATCTATTACTGAACAACTACCCAATGTTCATCGGTACTTTTATCACGACCCTCTGAAATTCTTCACACTCCAAATTAATAAACAGATCTTTGGTATCAGCTGGCATCATTCTTTATAACTAATTTGGTTCTACAGTGAACTGCCAAAACTTTGCTCAATTAGAGCCTGGTCTACAGGAATATAGCACTTGAAGAATGCCTACATCAACATAATGGTACAACAATTCTTTACTAGGTAACAAACATTTTTTTACCTCTTCTCCCATTAGAGTTTTGTTTTTCTTTTCTAGCATGTCTTTTGTCTAGAAAATAAGAATGAATTTTCTTTACTTAATTGCCGGCTAGGAAAATTGAGTAATGTTTATATTGAATAAAAAAGGCAGTTCATACAGAATTAAAGTCTATTTAAACATCCAGAATCGGGGACGTAAATTGATGGATATTATTGGGAGGGTGAGAAGGATACGAATTTTCGGACTGACAATAAGCTAACCGTTATTTTGTAAAAAATTATACTAAGGCTATACTTACAGAATTATACTTACTTTTATGGTTAAGTCATGTACTTGTCAATTGAGAAAATTTTCGGAATTAGCGCCATGTTATATTATTGTCTGGCGTGAATATACATATGAAATTGCAACCTAGATTTTTCGATTATGGTTTCAACTCTTGTGTTTCCAACTAGTTCAAGGAATTTCAAAGATTGGGGGTGTCACACTCCTTACAAGTTCCGGTATTCACGTGCCTGTCCAGATTTCAATTACAGTGAAACACTAATTAGAGAAAACTATTCATTAACAGATGCCTACAAATGACGGACCAATTTCTAGTATTATCTAAAACATCATTTTCTGCTGTCAATGCTGGAAGAAAGGACACTTCTCTACATAGGACCACGACTTTGGACTAATAGACATAAAATATATGGTTGTTTTAATGCATATGTTTCTAATCATCAATATTTGTACACATTCTTTCATAAATATCCATATTTTTGTGGTCCAAAAAGCTTTTTCTTAAAAATAAAAGCAAAAATTCTAAATAATAAAAATTTATTAATTTATCAAAATTGTTTGCAACCTTCCAGATACAATCATCTAGGCTTTTCTAGGCAACAGTTGAACATCCAGGCCCAAGCCAAGAAGGGGCTGGAGGAATATACTTTGTTACGGATTGTGGCTTTAGCCCCCCTCCTCTTCTAGAACGTTTATCCTGCCGTCAGGTTTGTCAAAATCCTTATTCAGTCACTTATATCTTGGCCTTTTCATTTTCCTAGTACTCTCAAGTGCAATGAACAAGCTTCAACAAAACGAACATATCACTTACCTTTTCAAGATTTTCTGTCTCCTTTAAATGATATGCTAGAGCTTCATTGAGCCTTATGTTTTCTTTGTAAACAGCTCTTGTGGTTTCATCTAGATTGCTGTAAAAGTTTACATAAAAAAACAAGACTCAAAATCAACCTTTTGATCATTTTATATTAAAAACAAGAAGAAGTATTATTTTGAGGATTTAAAATGTCATCCACTAATACTCAAAAGATGTTCAGTTTTTGAATAACATAGTGAGAAGTTGGTGATTTTTTTCAAAGAAAGTGATTTCTAAAATTTAACACAGAGGTAAACTTTCCAGGTCAAAGCACATTTCCTTGATTAAAATAGACAAGACTCTTGTTTCATTTTCCATTATCAATGACAAGATCTGATCTTTTCTTTGAAAGGAAAGAGATTAGCTTGTACTGAATGAAAATTTAAAATAAAAAAATGTTCCATGAATGTGTTACCTGGGTACTCAAAACCTACTTCTGCTGCTAAAATCTTTTATATTAAAGGACATTATGCTGTGTTAGCATTTGGCTTATACAACAAAAACGAGTTGGTTGGAATTCCATTGTTTCGTGACTTTTTATTTCTGCTACTTGAATTTTTACTGCCACAAAAACTCATCCTCAATTCCACACTTTATACTAAACAAATAAGATGCTTGTTTTGCATTTAGCCAATCACATCCACAATACATGCCTTTTAATTTTTTGGAAATTTGTTACTTTAGAGTAAATATTCATCTACAATTTTACCAACTGAAGAAGTTTGGTAGGTGGCCTACCTAACAGCCTCAGCATGAGCTTGCTCTGCTAATTCTGATATCTTTTTACCTGCTTCTTGCTGAAGTCTCATCTGAAAGAAGAAAATGAATATATCAAGAAAGGCAAAACATATATTATAAATGATAAATTTATTTAACTACTTAAGCTCAAACTTTTGCTGAAGTCTCATCTCAAGGAAGAAAATGAATATATAAAGAAAGCCAAAACAAATATTATAAATGATAAATTTATTTAACTATTTAAGTTCAAACTTTTGCAAGAATGAAACAGGTGTTTTTAAAATAACAAGAAATTAACAATGAGCTAAAAACTAACAAAAAGTTAGAACACACAACATCTGCTGTTTGAAAAAGCTTTCCAAAAATAGCTTAAAGTTGTTGAGTCCTCTCAACACTTGTACAACAGAAGTGTTCTAGGCAAACAACTTAGCATGGGTCAATAACCTAGCATTGAACTACTTAGCATGGGTCAACAAGCAATAGTTTTGATGTCTTACTCTGGCAAAAGGGGAGATATATGCTAAAGCAATCATGTCTAAAATCTTATTGTCAATACTCTTTAGCTTGCCCAGGTACCTAGAACAAGACAGCTTTATACATTTTTGCTTTCAAAGTCTTCAACTATAAAAATTTACCTTTTCTTCGAAAAATTTATGCTCCATTAATGACAAGGTTTCTTTGTGCTGCTTTTCACTATGAAACAAGGAATCTTTTATCTAAAAACAAAGATCATAGAAAGGTTAAGCAAAATTAAGATTAATAACAAAGAGTCAAAATGGCTTCTTTTCTCAACAACTTGCTGACATTACAAAAAGAAACAATTTCCTTGCCAAACAAATAAAGAAAATGTCCTTCAAAAAAACACCCCAATCAGTTACATAGTCTGCATTTTTGAAAATATTGTTTAGAAACATTGCAGAAGAAGCACTCCATCTTCTTTAGAAATGGTATAATGGAAAAACTACTCAACCTCATCAAGCTCTTTCTGCATCTGAGCTCGTTTCCTCCTGAATTCTTTAACCATCTTCAATTCAGATTGCATGAGCTTGACCTATTTCAAAGAATTATAGAATAAATGAACATAATAATGCGTTTATATTAGTCAACATCATAGCCAATAACTATTAAATTACAATGAGATTTCTATCTAACATGAAATCGCACAAGTTTTTTATAATTTGAAATATGAATAATTGATATTCTTTGTTGGTCAGCCAGCAAAGGAATTCTAGGTAACTGTGTTTTCATTACTATAAGCATGAATTTATTCATTTTATTTGTTTTGTTACTTATATTTTAACAAACATAAAGATAAAGAGAGAAAGTGATCAATATTTAAGTAAGACTTAAAATTTGAAAGCTTGTTTTGCATTCATGAGAAATAATTACCTCATTTGTCTTTTCAGCAAGCTGCTCTTGCAAAGTATGTATCTTCTGTGTATATTGATCAATCTAAAAATCATGTTCATAAAAAAGTTAAATTATAACATTTTGAAAAGATTTCAAACAGATCCAAAAGAGCAGCTGAAAACTTAAATAGAGAAATGCCAAGGTGCTATGCTGTTTTAGGAATTTTGTTTCACAATGATATCAGAGTAAATTTCCCCTCTGATGAATACAGACTTAGTACTCAAGTCAAAATAAAAATATAATGCAGCTTTCTTCTGCAAAGAGATTTTGTTTTTCAGAGCTCAAGCAATTACCTAACAAGTAAGGGATTTAGTGGAAGAGAAGGATTACAATTATTTAAAAAAAGTTGAGAAACCTGACATAGTTTTATCACTTTAGTGTATTATCATGGGTTTATTGCATTAGTTAAAAAACTTGAGGCATATTATTCTATCAATTTTTGTATCACATTAAAGTCAAGGGAGAAATATTAATGAATTTCTGCTTCAGTATCAATAAATGTTTGTTGATATATTAAGATCAATAACAGTCCTTACCAAAGTTTGTTTTTCTTTTCTAAAATCTCGCTTCAGATCTTTGATTATTTGTTGTAATTTATCAACCTGAAAGCATGGGCAAACAATAATGTGCAAAAATAAATAGAAGAGAAATAAAAATATCATCATTTTATGTACAGGATAAATAAAAGAGAGCACACAATATTTGATTAATCAAGATAAATAACAGATTACATCATAATAGTCTAGCAAATACCTCAAATCAGGATGGAGATAAAATTCCTCTAAAAAATGTTATATTAAGCAGGATTAATTCAGTTTTCTTGAGTCATCAAACATATTCATCAGTTTTGTACCAGCTCTCTACAAAAATTCTTCCCTATTGTGATGTTTATCTGAATAATTTGATAATGTGAAAAATGCAAAAATTGAATTTGAGAGCAATACTTGATCATCCTTCTTCATATCTTCTTTCTTAAGAAAAGATATAACATCTACTGTATCTCTTTCAATCTGTGCCATTTGGTTTTGTAGCCCCTCATTTTCATACAACAGTTTTTTTGCATTTTCTCTGTAAGGAAAGAAGACATTTTTGAAATCATATATTTGAAATAACGAGGAGCGTTAATGCATCTCACTTTCAGAATCAAGCATTCCAGTTTCAGTTCCTTTTTGCTAAAATCCTACTTTATACAATACATTCATAAACCAATGGAACGCTCATAATATTTTATGTTAATAAAATCTGCTAATTTGTTTAACACTAATCAATATATAAACACACGATGCGTATAATATATGACAGAAGCCATAATGTAAAAACAAACCTGTATTCTTGCTTTGCTCTTTCTGTACTATACAATTTTCCCTCCCATAAACGAGCATTTGCAACTGCATTTTTGAGAACGGACTCTTTGTCATCTTTACTGCTTGCTTTAGACCCTTTTTTCCTAGATGCAAAAAGAGAAGACCAACTTGATGGGGTATTCTTGGCCTAACTGACATCAGGAAAAAAATCCCTGCACAGAAATTGTAAAAAAGTTAATGAAAATGCTACTAAAAGTTAATGAAGAGCTACATACCCCTTTGTTTTTCCTTTAGACTTTGACTTCTGCTTCTTAATTTTCTTTGGCATTTTGTTGAGATTTAACGATAACAATTTATCTCTTCTTCCTCCTTGAACACACACCAATCAACAACATTGGCCTCTTTTGCAAACGTAATGTTGCCATGTCAACGGTAACAAAGCAAAGCAACAGAGAAGGGAAATGATTCTGTATTCAACATATTCGAGCACCCGTTCACAGTGGAAGCGGACTCACATTGCAATTGCAATTCATAACTCATTCATAGTAATTGTCTAAATTGCTTCAAATTTTTGAGAAAAATATCTTGAAAATTCATATCTATGTTCGGTGGCAACATGCATTATTTGCCTCCTATCCAATGTTATCTTGCAAACGAGATTGTTCCACATGTGTTTGCTTAGGCACTGACCAAGTGGTGTTTAGGACTTTAGAACCAATGTTGAGAAGCTTTCAAGCCTTTCAAGTAAAAGATTCTATCTCAGTTCCGTTACAGAAGGTATGAATTTGTCCTGTGGATAATCTAAAAGCCGATTATTAGGCACTTGAAAGAATCTCCTTTGTTTGTATACCGATAAAGTTTAGGCCATTATGGGTCCGCTATTTAGCGAGCGACATTCGATTAGACATTCAGTTAGACATTCGAGTATACATTCGGACTTTGATTGCTTCTTACAAAAAAACCATAAAAGACAATAAAAAGATATTTCATAGTGGGAAACTTGGCTGGATTCTCTGTCGATTCGTGTATCTTGTTTATATTAAGACGCGCTATGCTTTAAAGGGTAAGGCAAAACATCGAAAATTTTTGTACACGGCCTAAATGTTCGCGTAAAATAGACATTCGCAGTGAAACATCACAACCTGATTTGAACTGATTTCAGGCGCTAAGGACGAAACAAGTTAGCGAAATCGACTCAAAACAACATAAAACGTACCTTTCCTTCAACTTTTCAGCAAATTCAAGGGAAAAACTACCAATTTCCAACATCATGTTCAACTAGCAAAAAGCTCCGAGGAAACCCCAATTTGAAAACTTGCAAAAACTATCTCCCTAAATAACGTCTGCCAGGCTGATCGGAATATGATGAAACTTGGTAGGGTTGCTAGAAATAATGTACTTAACATGTTTTTTTGGGTCTGGTTGCGATTTTCTGGTTTTGTGCGAATTTATGAAACGACCCTCTATCGAGCTCCATACTGAAGCCTTATAACAGCGATCTCGAATGTCTATCTCCCTAAATAACGTCTGCCAGGCTGATCGGAATATGATGAAACTTGGTAGGGTTGCTAGAAATAATGTACTTAACATGTTTTTTTGGGTCTGGTTGCGATTTTCTGGTTTTGTGCGAATTTATGAAACGACCCTCTATCGAGCTCCATACTGAAGCCTTATAACAGCGATCTCGAATGTCTATCTCCCTAAATAACGTCTGCCAGGCTGAGCGGAATATGATGAAACTTGGTAGGGTTGCTAGAAATAATGTACTTAACATGTTTTTTTCGGTCTGGTTGCGATTTTCTGGTTTTGTAAGAATTTATGAAACGACCCTCTATCGAGCTCCATACTGAAGCCTTATAACAGCGATCTCGAATGTATATCTTCCTAAATAACGTCTGCCAGGCTGATCGGAATATGATGAAACTTGGTAGGGTTGCTAGAAATAATGTACTTAACATGTTTTTTTGGGTCTGGTTGCGATTTTTGGTTTTGTAAGAATTTATGAAACGACCCTCTATCGAGCTCCATACTGAAGCCTTATAACAGCGATCTCAAATGTCTATCTCCCTAAATAACGTCTGCCAGGCTGATCGGAATATGATGAAACTTGGTAGGGTTGCTAGAAATAATGTACTTAACATGTTTTTTTGGGTCTGGTTGATAGGTCTGGTTGAGATTTTTATATCAGTTATGGTGAACCCCAAAAGACGACAAACGACAGTTTGCATAATTACGAGTTATTTATTGACAGTACATTGAAATGGTAAAAAAAAATTTTATCGAAGGAGAACTTACATTATAGAATAAAACTTGTTACAACACTTAATTGTTACAAGGGTCTATATATTTATATTTTACTATACTTTGTGTTTCTTTGCAACTTGTAGCGAAAAGACCTGTTTAACATATTTGATTACTAATAAACATTTAAATTATTTAGATACATCGATTTAGACTACTTATACGAAAGTTGTAGACTAAAACAGGACTATGGCCATAAAGATCAACTTGTTAAATGCGTGGAGTATAGGAAAACTTACAATTATTATTCTACTACGCGGGAATTTGCCAATCAATCAACATTTGCTTTCAAACGGTATTAATGTGAAAACAAAATTTATTTAAACTATAACTAATTGCTGAATAATGTATCAAGAACGTTGGTCAATTAACAAAATGTTAAACATGAAGTAGATTTTAATGATATACTGCTCCTTCATACGGGGCTTCATCACAGCCGTTTAAAATGCGTAGTGTTGAAATAAATTCAATATCGTCTAAACTAATGAAATATATTACGTTTCTAATCTACTTTCTGTTTTCATTTTATTTTACAATTTTTTCACAAATGTGTCACTGTACAGATGATCATTTACAATACTGCCGAGGATTCGAGGAAATAGGAAAGCAAAGTCACTGGGTTCTATGAGTGTTTAATTGCATTAAAGAACACCGTATTTCTAGGCTGTTCGGTAGAGTAAAGTTTTGCAGTCGCTTCTTTAAAGGAGAGATGATATTCTTTCATTACGAAATGAGTAAGTTGTTCTGGAAACAAGAACAGATCTGTTAGATTTGCGCGAGTATGACCAAGTAATCTTTCTATGTTATATTTAAACTTATATTGGAGGCTTGCTACAGAGTCATTATCTGTCCTTACCATCTCGATGAGTAAAGCGGTGTAACGAGACATGATGCGCCAAATTGACTTTCCGAATGTTTTGTAAAAGAAATTATGTAACTCGAAATTAGCAAATTCTTCATATTCCTTATTACCAAGGGTGATAAGGGCAGTCAGCCGCTCTGATAAATTCCTTTTGTCATGTTTTCTTTTGGGTGCAGTATCGTTATTAAAGCGTGTCAAAAATGGTTCCAATTCTGATTCTGCATAGCTTAGAAAAGCATTGCGGAATTTTTTTGATCTGAAATGCATGTCTTCCTGCGTATCGTCTGTGTCATTATCGTTGGTATCGTCTGTGTCATTATCGTTGGCATCGTCTGTATCATTATCTGTATTGCTATCAGTTGTCAAACTAGTGTCTTCCCTAGGATTGTTATTACTTTCTGCGTCATCTGATATTGTTTCAATAGTAGCAACGTTTTCGGAGAGATCGGGCGAGTCTATAATTGATTTTAGCGTAGCAAAAGGTTTGCAGTTACGATCTGCATGATAATTATGCTTTGAAATCTCTCGCTCGTCTGTTTCTATTGCACCCCAAACAGTGGCATTCGTGGACCTTCTTCTACCTACATATTCTGCGCCATCGATGCAAGCTTTCCCTATCCAATATCTTATCGGTATAAGGTCAGTTTGGAAAATCTCGAAATCCGTCAAAGTAACCAGACAATAAGCATTTACACATGTATATACCCCACAGCTGTGTGTATCGAATTGCTGCTGGAGTCCGTATTCGGTTAATGAAAGATAGACCCAGTTAGGTATTTCTGATTCTTTTTTTGCAACGGAAAGTAATTTGGAAATGAAAACATTAATTGCAAAGAAGGCATTTTCCTCGCCACCGTCACTTGCTGCTGAATCACAATGTACCACCAGCCTTTTTTCGGGGTACAAAGCAATAATGCTCCAGTGCCCTGGTGAGCCTTTTCTCGTTTGGTGAAATGGAAAAAAGACAATAGTTGCCCCAAGAATTCGTTGGTATTCCTCGATAGAATTTGATAAAATGTGTCCGGTGGATCTTTTTTCCAGAATGGCTGTCAAAACCTGTGATGGCAAGACTTCAATGTCAGATTTGCCAAAAAATTTAAAAGCTAGATGTTGTAAAAATGTAGAGATAACATCACCATGCAAATTTTCATTACAGGCAATGGTTCTATATGATTCGACAGGGAGATTAACTTCATTGGGGCTATTCTCAAATCCGAAAAGAATTCTTTCTACGTTTTTATTATCGATGGGGCTCATTTCTTTTTCCCAAGGCGCATTTGTAGTTGGCGTTGCATTTCTTAGAGCAACAGAGTTAATGTATACCAACATACGACAGTTTTCTTTACATTCCCTCGAATTAATATATTTCTCAAGTGATACGGGCACTTGCTTACTGTCATCAAATTTAAGCCCTTCACCTAGATCATTGAATATGGCACAGTTATAATGGCCAAACGTAGATGATTTACCATGATGAACAAGAACGGCAGCAAGACGATACACACAAGCATCTTTATTATACTGACCTGGCAACATATTTGATAAGAAAAGAGTTTCGTTAATTTTAACAGGACAATGCAGAACTGTATTATCTACGCCGTTGCCTCTTTCGACCATAACTAATAATGCTACAGGGAGCTGTAAATAGAACATTCTATGGGTCAAATGAGCATCTTCAGGCTCGCAATCGCAAGAAAAGTCGTGGAATCTATCCTTGACAAATGAACTCTCCCAAAGATATGACTGCACAGATACGTTCGGAACCGAATCTTTTTCTAAATGAATGGGAATCACAACCTGGCCCCTTGCAGATATTCCACCTCTATTACAAGTAGTACAGTTTGTGAGACTAAAAATCGCAACCAGACCCAAAAAAACATGTTAAGTACATTATTTCTAGCAACCCTACCAAGTTTTTGCAGACGTTATTTAGGGAGATAGACATTCGAGATCGCTGTTATAAGGCTTCAGTATGGAGCTCGATAGAGGGTCGTTTCATAAATTTGCACAAAACCAGAAAATCGCAACCAGACCCAAAAAAACATGTTAAGTACATTATTTCTAGCAACCATACCAAGTTTCATCATATTCCGCTCAGCCTGGCAGACGTTATTTAGGGAGATAGACATTCGAGATCGCTGTTATAAGGCTTCAGTATAGAGCTCGATAGAGGGTCGTTTCAGAACTTCGCACAAAACCAAAAAATCGCAACCAGACCCAAAAAAACATGTTAAGTATATTATTCCTAGCAACCCTACCAAGTTTCATCATATTCCGATCAGCCTGGCAGACGTTATTTAGGGAGATAGACATTCGAGATCGCTGTTATAAGGCTTCAGTATGGAGCTCGATAGAGGGTCGTTTCATAAATTCTTACAAAACCAAAAAATCGCAACCAGACCCAAAAAAACATGTTAAGTACATTATTTCTAGCAACCCTACCAAGTTTCATCATATTCCGATCAGCCTGGCAGACGTTATTTAGGGAGATAGACATTCGAGATCGCTGTTATAAGGCTTCAGTATGGAGCTCGATAGAGGGTCGTTTCATAAATTCGCACAAAACCAGAAAATCGCAACCAGACCCAAAAAAACATGTTAAGTACATTATTTCTAGCAACCCTACCAAGTTTCATCTTATTCCGCTCAGCCTGGCAGACGTTATTTAGGGAGATAGTTTTTGCAAGTTTTCAAATTGGGGTTTCCTCGGAGCTTGTTGCTAGTTGAACAGGATGTTCGAAATTGGTAGTTTTTCCCTTGAATTTGCTGAAAAGTTGAAGGAAAGGTACGTTTCATGTTGTTTTGAGTCGATTTCGCTAACTTGTTTCTTCCTTAGCGCCTGAAATCAGTTCAAATCAGGTTGTGATGTTTCACTGCGAATGTCTATTTTACGCGAACATTTAGGCCGTGTACAAAAATTTTCGATGTTTTGCCTTACCTTTTAAAGCATAGCGCGTCTTAATATAAACAAGATACACGAATCGACAGAGAATCCAGCCAAGTTTCCCACTATGAAATATCTTTTTATTATATCTTATGGTTTTTTTGTAAGAAGCAATCAAAGTCCGAATGTATACTCGAATGTCTAACTGAATGTCTAATCGAATGTCGCTCGCTGAATAGCGGACCAAAATTTCAGTAAAACTTGTTGACGTTTTGCTTGCTGCAAGACTTACTTGTTTAAATAGCTGCAAGGATTAAAAAGGCGTATGTGAATATGAACAGTTGGAAGGAATACTTTATTTTCGTATTCTAATACTGTACACCATCGACCCCCCTCTTAATTCTGGTGCTGTTGTGTTCTTCTAACGATAGTAAAAATG